ATCAGAAGCTATACATGCGGAGCACCGTGCGAGGGTACAAATTCCGCCCGTAGATTAGGAATTTCAGACGGAACGCGGCAGAACATGGCGCAATCCAAAGTTGTTCAAATTCTATGTCATGGATGGTTGACGTTGGACGTTCAATGGTCATGGCACTTGCGCACGCGCAAAATTTGAAGGAGTATAGACTGGTAATTAGCAACTGGCTGATGAGCTAAGACAAAATGTCAATCAAAAATTTCAATGAAAAACGTCAGAAATTTAATTCACTGTCATTTTGCAAACTATTTAAAAAAAATTTCATAAACAGAAAATGAAATGTGCTCTCAAATAAAATGATATACACACTGGGAAGAGATTAAAATAATCCTAGCGGTGAAAAGGAGCAACTCGTAGTTTGTGATCCTTAATCCCAGCACATTTCTGTTTTTTCGTGGGTGCAATCGCTCTAATCCGGTATATATAATATGTTTGGCTAAAAAATTAAATTGACTCAAAGGTTACCGGTTCCAAAAGAGGTTTTATTTCCCTGTCCGTCCATGCACGGGGATATTTTTGTTTACTTTTTACTTTCCCTTCGTTGTCCACCATTTTATTTGTATTTTGAATAATTCCGGTATTGCGTAATCAAGACAAATCCGATACCATATGTATATCGATTCAATGTAGATAATCCGATACGAAAACTAATCCGGTATCATGTAACTAGGGCCTTAGTGATAACGAAGGACGATAGAGCACGACAACATTAATAATTGTTTTACTTCAATTTTATGTGGATGCATGCATGAATGCATTTTATAAATTTTTATTGCAATATGGTATACCTATAATGACTTTACTTCAACAAAAGCGAATAACGGTATATATTCAGTTATAGCTATCTACCACAACACCTAATAATGTCAAATTCTACACACTAATATGAATAAAGTTGCACTTCAGTAGCCAGGTATTATAATTTATAAAGGAAATATAGATAAGGTAAATAAGGTCGAGACTACTGTAGACAGTGGCGTAGCGAGCCTGACGATTTAGTCCTGCTGTGCAAATTTTACGTTATTATCATTATTCGAATTCATTTCTTTAGAAATTAATTACTTTCACAGTCAGTGAACACTATGCAAAAGATTAGCATAGCCAGAAAAGTTGTCTGGCTGGCTACGCCACTGACTTTAGAAATATATTTTCCATCGTGCAATGACATTATGAGAACACTGCATGCCATTTCTTTATTATGATCTAGCAAAATGGTTTGTATATTTATATTGATCTTCGTTTTTCTTTTGAGAAAAGTCTCCAAAATTTGAGCAACTTTTTGTCCAATATTCCGTAAATAAGAGGATTCACCGAACATGAGGCGGCAACCCTCAAAACACTAGCTAAATACCATATCCAATAATATTCGGCCAGAAACCTATCTTTTCCCGCTATTTTCAAAACACGATGCACAGACATTGGAAGATTTCCAACGGCATAGCAAAGAACGGTAGAGAAACTAACAAGAAATGTTCGTCGATCTCGAACATATCGTAAGATTTTAAATGCAGAGTTACACGGCGTCATTAAGCCTAAGCTCTTCATGTATTTCTTTTGTTGTAAGAATGTCTGGTAAACCTTATAATACAACACAGCCATAAGAAATGTTGGAACGTAGTAAAGAAAGAATACGTAGTTTGCATCATGGTATCTTTTATAATTTTCGATAAAACATACGGGGATACGTGCTCCATAGCCAGCGATCAAACCAATAACGTAACCCAAACCACAAATAAATCTTAATTTCCGTCGACTGACAGCATGTTTTAGGGCGTGAACAGCTCCGTGATAACGAAGCATTGCAATGACCAACATCATGTATATTCCAGCGACGTGAAATACGAATCTCGCATTAACGTAAAAGCAATAGGCGATGGAAGTATAAGGGAAAAACTGATTTTTCACGAAATAACGGTTTATTATGGAGACAATAACGATACTCAACCATCCTAGATCACAGAACGCTAGATGCAAAACTAAGAAGTAGTAGTTGTTCTTCAACAGACGTCTTTGTCTCAATATGGAGATGATGACTAGGGCATTGCCGATGATTCCAAACACAACAACTGAAATATAAGAATATCTGTTTGCATCATAAATGACAGTCCTTCCCATCGTCGTACTTTAGCTTTGTTAAAGTATCTATGAGTTCGTTTTGTCCGTATTAATATTCAATACATATAAATTATATATTTTTATATGTACATATATATAGCCACACAGAATGTATATATATGTCAAGTAGTTGCAACAGCCGGAACAGACAATATTAAAGCAAATAATTATTACCTATGTTTGCCTACATCAATCTTAATGAAAAGTGGGAGACATCTTCTTGCCAATCATGCTTTTCTGCTTATTATCCCAAATCAAACATGAGCAATATTGATTTTCCTAATCGAATATACTTCAATGAATTTGCCGCTGATAATTTTAGCTGGCGATGTTCATACACAGTCAGAGAAAAAAATATCAAAAATTATATACAATAATATTTCAATGTTGAAGAACATATAAATTGTGGTTGAGTATATTCATATATATCTTTTTCCATGGGAAACCGTTTAATACTCTGTTTAATTCTCCAAGAGAATAAAGTTAATTAATAATTTTGAATTGAAATAATTTTTGGAACGTCTGAAAATCCATAAGGCATGTCCACTTTCAGAGGTGGTTGGTATTTGCAGTAAATGATATCAAACTTCAAAATTTCCCACTGTGACTACTAATTAATACCAGAATTCCTTGCAGGTGTCGCAGCTTTTTACGTCATTATGCACAAGATCCATTAAAGAAATTATTATTGAATAATGCCATAAGCTATAACTATATAATTTGACAAAAGAATTTAGGATTTATGGCATTCAGTTACGACAGCCCAGGTCTGGTTAAAATATTATACTTATGCACTGAGTTTATGCGAACTTATTACAAAAAAAACGTGTATTACAATTGATGCCAAATTTAATTACAGTACGCCCACGTCGATCATAGTAATTAAATTTTTTTATTTATTTCGTTTATTCGATTGCTTTATATATTTACTTTCAGAATCATAGAAAACCAAAAATGTTAATCGTCTACTGGACAGTCTATGGATAAGCATATATAAAACGTTTGAAAAAAATAATAGAAATAAGTCCCTCGGCGCAGTATTTTTAAGAGAAGCACATATGTATCATAAAATTTATCAGAATGCACACCCAGATCATTGTATGACGCCATTAAGCGTGTTACTGGAAGAATGATGACGTCTATACACATCGTAAATATTTCTAGCCGATATGTATAATATACTGCCGTGTTTATTACGGATCACAGCCTCCTACCCAGGCACTTTAAATAGCAAAATATATAACGTTGCATTCAGTTTTTGTATAGAGGTTTGTTGAAAAAAGGAGAGCCCACGGGGGTGCTTGGGCTGGCTAACTTTGTTAGAACCTTTTTATCCCCAAGCCGGCGCGGAGCGACGTGCTACGCTACTAGGAATTACACCTGAGTATTGTGACAGAACATAGCGGAATCCAAAGTTGCCAAAATTCTATGTCATGGACCGTGGACATTCGATGGTCATGGTACTTCTACGCACGCGCAAAATTTGAACGAGTAAGGACTGGTGATTAGCAACTTGCTGATTGGCTAACACAAAATGTTTGTATTTTAAAAACAAACTATTTTTTTAAAGAATGTCTCGTAAGCACAATATGAAATGCGGATGAAATAAAATTATACAAACGCTGGGAAAAGATTAGAGTATGATCAGAACTGGAAAAGTTAAGCGATGAAAGTTAAGCGGTGAACAACTTGTTACTTAAATCATTGAAATGGTAGGTGTCTACTTTGTTTATTTCGTGTTTGCAGTAAGAATGCATTTCACAAGCTTGGTATGTCGTTTTGCGAAGACCTAATCGACTATTTAAGGCTTTACACCATCGTTTTAACTTCAAAAAGAGTTCTTGAAAGTGTAATTTGGAGATTTGGTATAACAAATATCACTTGGAAGCTTTTATAGAGTCGACTGCAATCACTGCATGATTTCAATTATCGAAAAACAATATTCGACGTTTAGTGTTTGTGGATTTAAATTATTTTGCTGTTTTGAAGGTTTATCTAAGTCTATATGACTATAACTGCATGAAACGCTTGCAGCTGATTTCATTTCATCTTTACGACTGTGTTTGTTCCCGAAAAATGTGAAACATCAGCTATCAGTATATTGAGGTCTGGCTAGCTCAGGAAAAAAATTGCTATGTTTGAAATGGCAAGGGGTTGCTGCACGCATGTATTTCTAGTATATTTTACTATTAAAGAGCCTGAGTACGGCTACGAGGCTGGGAAAATCAGGAAGAGTATACTGATCAAGAAATTTGAAAATCTACCTTCAAATATTTGGAGTAACTTGTTCCGGCTGCAACTAGCGATCAAGAAATATTATAACCGCCCTATTGTTATATTTCTGGTGCTTTGGATTGTACATTTCACTATCTATGAACTCACAGGTTCTAGCGTTAAACAATGTATACAAACTTCGGCGAATGTAGCCGGAATGTCAATTTTGTCTGAATTTTTTAGCCATGTCCTCACATGAACTATGACCCCCCAAAAAATGGTATCATATATCACTATGAAATATGCTCATGGTCTGAAAGCATTCCTACGCAAATTTCGATGATGCTAACGATTATGATAAGTAGGGTCTCGTGGACCCTAAGACGTTAAAAAAAGTCGAAAATTCCAGAAAATTAAAATACCGTCTGTCTGTTAACACGCTAGGTTCAGCCCTGGTGCTATAAACAAGACTTTGCGTTCCGACTCCAAGCGCGGTCCGAAATCATATTCCGCGTTTTTTCCGAGGAATCTTCAACCATAAAAATGTAAATATTTATATTGGTTGCGCAACTTGTATGCATTTACCCTACAAGCCAAAACACACTTCTTCGTTGGCAAGACGAAACCCGTACTCAAAAATCAACGAAAGATAGCAACCATAGAAAAAGAGAAATCATGTATAATATGAAAAATTCCAAAGTTCAGGAGCCAAGCCCTGCTCTGACATTGTTAAAAGAAAAGATGTCACATTTCATGACGGTCGAAGGGATCGAATATGCCATGAAATTTGTTCCTCGTTCGACTGATGTGATTATTAGCACTTCGCCGAAATGTGGCACGACCTGGATGCAACAGATTCTCCATCAACTACGAAGTGGTGGCGATATGAGCTTTGCAGATATCGGCGAGCAAGTGCCATTCATTGATTTGTCTTATTTTATTGGGCAAGATCTCGATGCCGAACACAAATATCAACCGAGATGTTTCAAGACCCACTTCCCATATGAAAGCTGCCCCAAAGGCGCAAAGTATATCGTAATCTTTCGTGAACCCTGCGCCGCATTCTACAGCTCGTATAACTTCTTACAAGGAAATTATTTTCAATCTCAAGAAATATCAGTTGACGAATTTGTGCGAAGCTTTCATCTGTCTGCAACTGGTGTGGGTTCAAATTACTTCAAGCATTTACTAAGCTGGTGGCCACATAGATACGATTCCAATGTGTTGTTTCTGTTTTATGAAGAAATGCTGGAAGATTTGGAAAGTTCAGTAAGAGCGGTTGCATCCTTCATAGGCATCGATGATGAAGCACGTATAGCGAATGCTGTGAAGATGAGCAAATTTGATTTTATGAAACAAAACCAAGACAAGTTTGCATCGCATCTCGTATCTCGTTCTCGAAATAAAGCAATGGGGCTCCCTGAAGAGACCCGGTTGCAACGCATTGCGACAGGCTCTGCTACGAAAGCCCTCGAGATGATGGAAGAGTGTACCAAAGAAGATATTCAAAAAATGTGGACTGAGATGATTGCAGAAGAAATTGACTTTAAAAATTATCAGGAGTTTAGAGAGACTTGGAAGAAGCATTTCCTTGTAAAAGAACACAAAAACTAAGTAACCCAGGACAGCTAATAACCGCATTCGTATAACCTTGCTGAAAATGATTTTAACATTTGAGAATCTAAACGTGAATTGGGCAATCTATATTCCAAAATTATCAACGTAATATAAATTCCATGCAGAAAAACCCGCCACTACAAACAAACGGAACGAACTCAACTTCGCACCGCCCAAAGGGACACGACGTGTAGCGGTGTAGCTATGTCGCAGTGACATAAAAAATATAAACGTAAAGCACATGGAGTGTTAATGAATGTTAATTTATTTTAGCCAGATATAACTTTATAATATGGGTATACCAACCTCGTTCCCAGGGCATTATTACCTCTGTTTGCCAACATCAATTTTAATGAAATGATTCTTCTTCTTGCCAATCATGCTTTTCGGGTTTAACATGGGCAATATTGATTTTTCTAATCGAATATACTTCAATGAATTTGGCGCTGAAGTTTTAACTGGGCGATGATCATACACAATCAGAGAAAAAAATATCTAAAATTATATACAATAATATCTCAAAGTTGCAAGAACATATAAATTGTGATTGAGTATATACAGATAAATCTTTTTGCATGGGAAACCGTTTAATACTCTGTTTAATTCTCCACGAGAATTAACTTAATTAATAATTTTGAATTGCAATAATTTTTGGAACGTCGAGCTCTGAAAATCTATAATGTGCACCTTCAGAGCTCCTTAAAAGCGTTTTCAGGATAATCACGGCTTGGTTGGTATTTGCAGTAAATAATATTAAACTTCAAAATTTACCGCTGGGCTACTAATACATGCAGAATTCCTTGCAGGTGTTGCAGCTTTTTACGTCATTATGTAGAAGATCCATTAAAGAAATTATGATATTTGTTGAAAAATGTCATAAGCTATAACTATATAATTTGATAGAAGGATTTATTGCATTCAGTTACGACAGGTCTGGTTTAAATATTATACTTATGCACGGAGTTTATGCGAACTTATAAAGTGTATTACAATTAATGCCAAATTTAATTACAGTGCGCCCATGCACGTCGATCATAGTAATTAATTTGTGTGTGTTTATTTCGTTTATTCGATTGCTTTATATATTTACTTTCAGAGTCTTAGAAAACCAGAAATTTTAATCGTCTGCTGGACAGTCTATGGATAAGCATATATAAAACGTTTAAAAAAATAATAGAAATAAGTCCCTCGGCGCAGCATAAAAATTATCATTGCGCACCCATATCATCATATGACGCAATTAAGCGTGTTAATAGAAGAATGGTGACGTCTATACATCGTAAATATTTCTAGCCGATATGTAATATACTGCCGTGTTTATTACGGATCACAACCTCCTACCCAGGCGCTTTAAATAGCAAAATATATAACGTTGCATTCAGTTATTGTATAGAGGTTAGCTGAAAAAAGGCGAGCGCACGGGGGTGCTTGGAGTGACTAACTTTGTTAAAACCAGCCGAAGCACCCCGTGCGCTCGCCTTTTTATCCCCGAGCCGGCGCGCAGCGACGTGCGAGGGTACTAATATTTAGTTAGTTAGTTAAAGCATTTATTTAATCACGATATAAAGATACAGCAGACGCTGATAGAGTCGTGAATATATAGATATAAGTATACAATATCAATATCTATAATATTACTAATTTAATTAATGTTACTATTTATACTAAAAATGAATAGATAGAGTTACAATTAAAACATTGAGTCTCTTAATTCTAAATTAGCTACAGACTGTGAGAACAGCCGATTGTTTTCTATTTCTCTTGTCTCATTTTGTAAGTTATTCCACAAAACTGAGCCCTTATAGGTAATTAGCCTGCGCACAGACGTAATGTAGACGTAAAATATGTATTTTACGTGTACATTACGTCTGTGCGCAGGCTAATAGGTAATTGACTTCTTCATAATTTCAGTCCTCACTCTCGGTAGCCTTAGACAATTCGTTTCTCTTAAATCATCTAGCGAACGTTTTACTATCAGATCAGACATAATTGTTGGAACATTTTTGTAGTAAATTTTTTGAATCAGTTTCGCCAGCGATTCAAGATACATTTGTTTTAATGTTCTCCATTTGTGAACTGTAATTACATCTCTAGGGGCTGTTTAAATGGAGACCGGGCCAGCCCGGTAAGTGAGATTTTTTATTGCGTTTATATGCAAACTGGGCTGGCCCGTTTATTGGGCAAGCCTGCATGCAGGACAATCCAACAAGGTGGAATGCTTTTCGCGCCTTTTTACAAAAAAGGCGCGACCAAAACTTTTCGTTGTTCCAATGGTGCTTTCTGACGAGTTTTACTATTATGATGCTACAACTTTATAGGGCTTTAATGCTTTGGAAAATACATATGAAGCAGCAAGAAGAGGCAATTTCTATGCTTTTGTTACGAAAACAAAGCTATTGGCGTAGAAAGTGGAAGAACAAGTACGATCGTACTATAGTAGACCAGGTACTGCGTGACCGAGAATTGCATTGTACTTACAACAATGGAGAGGAGAATGTATTTCTAATCGTTTGCGTTTACTTATATGTATATAGGCTGAATATTAATGATATGTATATATTATTTGCTGCAAATATAGTCAAGAATTGCTTGTAACTTGCTTCAAAGGTCAAAAGTAAAAATTCGAACTCCGTCAATCGATGCGGAATATTGCTTAGAATAATTGTGCCAAGCTTCATTCCGATCAAGCAAGTAATGCTAGAGCCTTAGGGTTTTTTTAAAGAGTGTCGCCCCCTAACAACAGCAACAACAACAACAACAACAACAACAACAAACACAAACAACAACAACAACAACAACAACAAACAACACAAACAACAACAACAACAACAACAACAACAACAACAACGACAACAACAAGATTAGTAGCGGTTAGGGACCAGTTCCTGGTCCAAAAATAGACAGAGATACTTACGGCGAAAGAAACGCAGCTGTTGGCATATTCCTGGAGGAACAGATTTATGGTGGGATAACATATTGAACGGAGTATCTCCAGAAGAGTCATGGAAAAAAATTTCGTATGTCAAGGGAAGATTTTATGGAACTATAGTGACAGAACTGAGACCTTTTATATCGCCTGCACCTGGATCACCAAACTACCGAAGCCTTACCGCGGAAAAGAAACTAGCAATCACATTGTACTACTTGAAAGATTCAGGCTCGCTAAACATGACAGCTAACAGCTTTGGTGTAGCTACTTGCACTACTTCATGTGTTATACTTCAAGTTTGTACAGCTTTATCAAAACATCTTGGACCGAGATATATACACCTTCTTGTGAATAATGAGGAGATGAAACAGAAAGTTGCTGAATTTGAATCGAAATTTGGGATGACACAAGCTTTTGGGTGTATCGACGGCACCCATGTTCCAATTAAGCGCCCTATAGAGAACTCACAAGACTTCTTTTGTTACAAACAGTATTTCTCAATCACTGCTCAAGCTGTCTGTGACTATAAGGGATTCTTTATGGACGTGGAATGTATGTAGCCTGGCAGCGTGCATGATGCAAAAGTATTTGCTAATTCTTCAATCGACCATAAGTTAAGAGGAAATAAGCTGCCTACAACATTCCAGTTCCCTGTTGAAGGTGGAGCCAAAATACCAAATTACTTGATTGGGGACCCAGCCTATCCTCTTCTACCATTTTGTATCAAGGAATATGAATCATGTTCAAATAATCAGCAGGTTATTTTCAACAACATGCTCAGATCTGCACGGAACCCAATCAAATGTGCATTTGGACGCCTTAAGGCCAGGTGGTCAGTTTTGACCAGGAAAATGGATCTTAAAATTGAAAGCATCCCAATGGTCATACATGCATGTTTTGTCCAGCACAATTTTTGTGAAAAAAGAAATTCATATATAGAGGATGACCTCGTACGGTTTCAACCTGATGCCATAGGGCAAAATGAAGCTCAATATACAAATATCCCAGACCTGATTTACTCCCTCAATACAGGAGAGGGTGCTGTTGTGAGAAGAACTCTCACAACACTGATTCTCAAGTTCTATTTATGTATACATGTCTTTAAAATGTTCATATGAAAAATGTCAAGCAATTAAGGTTCTATTTATGTATACATTTCTTTAAAATGTTCATATGAAAAATGTCAAGCAATAGGTTCTATTTATGTTCGAAATCCACCATCAAATATTTACTTGAAATAATATGTGGTATTGTCACTTTCTGATTCTGGTGTAATTTGTAAATTCAGACACGGTGTATATGAACCACTAGTTGATATTTGATGCATCATATGGGATCGGGGTGGGTAATCAAACTGTTGTGGTTGCTGCTGCTGATGATAAAATACATTCTGGTTGTAGGGTTGGGAAATACCTTGCCCTTGGGGTTGCTGGTTTTGCTGCATAATTGCTCTAGATAGCATTTCAATAGAATGGCTAATACCTGCACCAAGTTGAGTCATAGACTTGCCAATAGATTTTACACTGTCACCAAACTTCCCTGACGATTCATGCATAACGTCAGTAAGATGCTTTTTGAATTTTGAATCTTCTTTTGCTTCTTTCAAGAGCAAATGATCTTGCTGAGCTGCTGATAAGTTACGTTCCCGGTTCTTGTGTTTATTATCAATCAACTGTGGCACACAACCCAGTTTCCGCTTACTTTGGCTATAGATACTTGCGTTGGCTGATTTTTTACACCTGTTTTTCACCATTATCATCGAATTCATCCTCCTCTTCAAGTTCTTCTATCTGAATTTGCTGGTCAATTGCATCATACCTGACTTCATCCTCATCAGTTTGTGGATCATCCAAGAAATCATCTCCTTTAACACCATATGGAAGAGGTCTAGTGTTAGGAGAGCCACCCCATATTAAAACAAGTTTATCGTAAAATTCGAACACGATCTTTCCACTTCCCCTTCTAGTGCCTGCTACGACTGCCTTGGCGAAATTTTGCCTTATCACCTTGACCTTTTCTTGTTTTTGCTTGGTTCCCTTCTCAATAAGCTCCTTGGACTTCTTGTGTTGCCTTTTAGTTTCATCTTTCTCCTCTTTTGATAGTTCTTTAAAGTTACTTGGAAAAGGAGTTGAGGCACGGGGTCCAAATAGCGAAATTTCATCCTCGTAAACTGTCGACATTGCTAGGCGAAGCTCTTTGTACTGCATCTGTTTGTCTGCATCAAAATCAATAAAGAATCCAGTAGATGCTCTACCATATCCAGCAGCCATTTAAAGTTCTTTCGTTTGGGTTTTTGGACCTATTTACTTTTTCGGCAACTACTGAAGACACAGAAGCTTCACAGGTTTCGGCCATTTTGAATAACCACATGGAAAAACGTACACGATGCGCATGTGTACATTGCGAGTTCTCATCCCGGCAACCGGACCCAGCCCGCTTGCGTGCGTTTATATGGGAAAATCATCATCTCAATAAGTGAGATCTCACTTTTTCAAAGCGAGATATCGGCAAGCGGGCCAGCCCGTTTGGCCATATAAACGCAAAACATATTTTTTATAAAACCTACAATGTAGTGAGATCCGCTTACCGGGCTGGCCCGCTTACCGGGTCTCCATATAAACAGCCCCTTAGTCGGCATGTGCCAATCAAGGCAATTGATAATTTTAGTTGCCCTCACATGCATTTTTTCAAGGTCATCAAATAAAGTTTTGTTACACGACCCCCACAAAACGATGCCATATGTCAGTGACGGAAGTATGACCTTATAATAGAAATCAAGTCTAACTTTCTTTGGCAGGAAATACAAGGACTTTAAAAGACTAATTTTCTGAGAAAATGCTTTCGTTAAATCCAGCACGTGTTTGGTCCATTTCAATTCATCATCCAACTCCATCCCCAAGCATCTTGTCGACCTTACTCGTTTTATGATCGAATTTCCAAGTTTTATAGCTTGCTGGGGACCGACAAATGATTTCCCTCCCATAATCATGAATTCTGTCTTACCTGGGTGAGACAACTAGCGATCAAGAAATATTATAGCTGACCTACTGTTATATTTCTGGTGTTTTAGTACTTTGCGGATTGTACATTTGACTATATATAAACTCACGAGGCTATAGTTTGAAACCATACAAACTTCGGCGAATGTAGCCGAAATGTCAATTTTGCCTGAATTTTCTAGCAACGCCCTCATTACATGAACGAATGGTATCATATATCACTATGAAATATGCTCATTGTCTGAAAGCATTCGTACGCAAATTTCGATGATGTTAGCGATTATGATAAGCAGGGCAACATGAACCCTAAGCCGTTAAGAAAACGTCGGATATTCCAAAAAATTAAAATACCGTCTTTCTGTTATCACGCTAGGAGCCTAGGATAAGTAATGGTGCTATAAACACAAGACTTTACGTCCCTACTCCAAAGGCAGTCCGGCATCATTCTCCGCGTTTTTTTCGATAATCCTTCAACCATAGAAATGTAAATTTTATATTACAACTTGCATTTACCCTCAAGCCCAAAGCACACTCTTTGTTGGGAAACTCGTACTATCGTAATATTAGCGAAAGATAGCAACCATAGAAAAAGAGAAATCATGTATAATATGACAAATTCCAAAGTTCAGGAGCCAAGCCCTGCTCTGACATTGTTAAAAGAAAAGATGTCACATTTCGTTACAGTCGAAGGGATCGAATATGCCATGAACTTTGTTCCTCGATCGACTGATGTGATTATTAGCACTTCACCGAAATGTGGCACGACCTGGATGCAACAGATTCTCCATCAACTACGAAGTGGTGGCGATATGAGCTTTGCAGATATTGACGAACATGTGCCGTTCATTGATTTGGCTTATTTTGTTGGGCAAGATCTCGATGCAGAACACAAATATCAACCGAGATGTTTCAAGACCCATTTCCCATGTGAAAGCTGCCCCAAAGGCGCAAACTATATCGTAATCTTTCGGGAACCCTGCGCCGCATTCTACAGCTCATACAACTTCTTCAGTCAAGGAAATTATTTTCAATCTCAAGAAATATCAGTTGACGAATTTGTGCGAAGCTTTCATCTGTCCGCAACTGGTATGGGTTCGAATTACTTTAAGCATTTACTAAGCTGGTGGCCACATAGAAACGATCCCAATGTGTTGTTTCTGTTGTATGAAGAAATGCTGCAAGATTTGGAAAGTTCAGTAAGAGCGGTTGCATCCTTCATAGGCATCGATGATGAAGCACGTATAGCGAATGCTGTGAAGATGAGCACGTTTGATTATATGAAACAATACCGAGTAAAGTTTATGAATCACCTCGTATCTCGTTCTCGAAATAAAGCAATGGGTTTCCCTGAAGAAACCCGGTTGCAACGCGTTGCGTCAGGCCCTGCTACGAAAGCCCTCGAGATGATGGAGGAGTGTACCAAACTAGATATTCAAAAAATGTGGACGGAGACGATTGGTAAAGAATTGGGCTTTCATGATTATAAGCAATTCAGAGAGACTTGGAAGAAGCATTTTCCTGTAAAAGAATACAAATCTGAGTAAATCGGAAGGGGGCCTACTAATAACCGACAACAATTAACCGACAACAACCCTCGTTACAAGCTTTCTGTCAATAATTTTAAGACAGTAAAATTTTATCTAGACATAATATTGTAATATTGATACTTTATTTACTAGACAGGTCGTCATGCGTATCACATTAGATATACTTCGAATATTGATTAGCTTCTGAATAATAGCCACAAGTGGGAGGTTTTCTATATTAAAACACCTTTTCGGTTGGTCCTAATGTCGGGGGTCATAGAAGGGACCGTTGCTTAAATTGAATATCTCTGCAAATATTTGGGCTAAAGATGCCGGAATACCACCAAACGATAGCGCTTGAAGAGGTCATATAAATGCTATATTCAAATCAGCAGATAGTTATAAGCCTCACTTGTAATTAAGTCAAAATACCAGCTTGAGTTTTTATCTCAAATTACTTCCCCATGGCAACCATACACTTTTCGAAATTCCATGTTTCTTGATATACTTTGTTCGCTGTTGTCTTTAGACTGTCTGAATTTTGCCTATTATCATTCTGTTATAACTTTGATGCTTTTTGGATTAGGATGTGCAAAACAATCAAAGAAATAACCATTTTAAGATCTAAGCGATGACCCTTGATGAGCGTTGCTAAGTGTGTGCTTAGTGCTTGCTCAGAATGTTGTCACGTGGTTCAAAAATGTGACAAAAGTCTGTGGTGCCCACCCCCTAGGGTCATTTTGACCCCAAATATCGATTCCTGGCGTAAAATTGGACCAAGGAGTCAGTATTAATGTTTATGTAAGAAATCGGCAAAAATCGTCTAAAAGCACGATTTTGAAGCTAAATATATCAAAACAAAACCGAGGCGAAGGCGACTTTTCAACTCCGTCGCTGACGCCGGAGTAATAATTATCATATTCGTTTGTTTAAAGATGATATAAAGTCCGTTCTGCGCATATAGGGTGAGTAAAAAAAACTGACACCTTTGAAATTCAAATTAGCCCCGAACTTATGGCTGGAATTAGACAATTCCCATGACAGAACCCTGCGCCGCATTCTACAGCTCAATCAACTTCTTTCAAGGAAGTTATTTTCAATCTCAAGAAATATCAGTTGACGAATTTGTGCGAAGCTTACATCTGTCTGCAACTGGTGTGGGTTCGAATACTTCAAGCATTTAATAAGCTGGTGGCCACATAGAAACGATTCCAATGTGTTGTTTATGTTCTATGAAGAAATGCTGGAAGATTTGGAAAGTTCAGTCAGAGCGGTTGCATCCTTCATAAGCATCGATGATGAACCACGTATAGCGAACGCCGTGAAGATGAGCAAATTTGATTTTATGAAACAAAACCAAGACAAATTTGCATCGCATCTCGTATCTCGTTCTCGAAATAAAGTAATGGGGTTCCCTGAAGAAACCCGGTTGCAACGCGTTGCGACAGGCTCTGCTACGAAAGCCCTCGAGACGATGGAGGAGTGTACCAAACTAGATATTCAAAAGATGTGGATTGAGACGATTGCTAAAGAATTGGGCGTTAAGGATTATAAACAATTCAGAGAGACATCGAAGAAACATTTTCCTCTAAAGGAATACAAATCTGAGTAAATTGGGACGGGTCCTACTAATAACCGACAACAACCAGCGTTATAAGCAGGGACGTAGTAGGGCCGTAGCTAGACCGCTCAATTGGGAGGCTGTATATTCATATATTAATGTTTATCTACTGCGGGAACAACAGCGTACAAAAGAAATCAGTCGGGCATAAGATGAATTTATGAATATACACCCCCTCCCCAATTAAGCTTCTGCCTAAGGCCCTGGTTATAAGCTTTAGGTCAATAATTTTAAGAAAATAAAAATTTATATAGACATAATATTGTAATATTGATACTTGATTTACTAGACAGGTCGTCAATATTCCAAGCATATCAAATGCTTCGAATATTGATTAGCGTCTGAACATTTATGGCTACAAGTGGGAGGTCTTCTATTAAAATAATTATCATATTCGTTTGTTTAACATAGCATGCATATTTTGGTCATGTTATTTTGTGCTGTGATATCGTGTACATAGTTATAAATATATTGCCATGTACATGTATGCAACCTTTTACAATATAACCTGTGACAATGATTGATAAACTGTAATGATAGCTTCCCAAACTGTGGAATTAGCCGAATAACTAAGTTGTATATACAAGGAATTTACAGGGAATTCAGACAGAGTGCATGACTCTGAAAACTGCAGCAAATAATCGTAATTTGCATAGCAGCTACTGCTGAATTGCATCTCAATTCCTATATCTGTGGAACTTATTATGCTCCGAGGATTTAAAAATTCGTTTTAACTGGCATGTTCAATGGTAATTCGAATAACCACACGATGACACGAAGTCGAGTTAGATTTAATGCAAAATAATTTCTCTATGAAATTCCTTTCTATTATGTTCACGCACTTGACTCAAATAACAAATGTAATGAAAATACAATACTTTAGGCGTTTGCAGTTATTGTAAAACATTCTGTTCTAAACTGAACAAAATGTACACACGTTTTAGTTTTTGCTAAAAGACGAAGTAAACACAACGCCATTGCCTAACAAAAACATCGGTGTACACATGCATATACTAATCAGAACACATTGAACGCTATCATATACACATGCAAAAACGCACAAATTATAAGATTTTTTTGCATGGCTTGTGGGCCTTGTCCATCTTGTTGTCAAGTTCCTACAAACCTACAGCAGACATGCTACAAGCTTGATGACTTCTATACAGTTATGGTAGTTCTGTTGCAAGTTGTTCCAACAACTTGTTATCAAGCTATACAGATCATGAACTTGTCAACAATTTATTAGTAACAAACTTGCTAAAACTTGACAAAACAACTACATTGCTAAAACTTGTTGACAAACTTGCTACAAGGTTGTTGCGATCACACCTTGTTGACAAAGAAGTGAAATTTTTACATGCATGTGTATTCAATATTCCCATACATGTCCAATACGCAGTTCAATGCTAATTCTTGTTTGTACATATCTTCTTCACGTCCTTAAGTTAAGACTATCTTCTGCCATCCCTGACTGAATGAGCCGAAAAGTCTTCTTTTGCAAAGTATTAATCCTACGTTTTTGGGACGTTTGAGGCATATATTGGTGGAGAGATATTTCATTTTGTGCAGTGTTGCTGACAGTGACGTTAACAGCTCAGTCTCGAACTTTGTTACAGAAATTTGGTCTCAACGCCACGAAGTTGGTCTCAACGCCACGAAATATGCTTGTGATAGCTTTCGAATCGGCGCTGCTACGACCTCAGCCTCGGCTAACTTGCCTGCTTGGCTGATCAAAACATTGGGTCTTCCGATTGTTTTGAACGTTACATTCAAACACCTCACACGTCCAATATTTCAAAAGGATTTATTTCCTATTTAGAGGAGAGGGCTCCTTCGTCTACGGGGATACACATTCTGTGTATTGTGGGAGGAAGCGCTCCTGATTCAAGTCGCGTTCAAGCCGATAGACTCAGCATTAAGTTGTATTGTAATCATAGATCAGTCAAATCGTATACAGTCCAACTAGCGTGTGCGGTTGGTCAGGTTGATGTCTTAGAGGCTAGCTACCTCTTTCATGGTATGTGGCGTGTGTGCATACATGACATCATGGGCTAGTGTGCAGTTGTGCGCAGTTGCAGAGTACTAATGGGGAGGACCCCAAGACATCGATTTAAGGCCATTTAAGAACGAGTCTATGGAATCCTATCCAAAGACTCGCACATCCTATAGGAGTGCTACCCCCAAGGACCCTTCTCCCACAAAAAACACGTGTGTGTATGTGTAAAGTTTTGCGCAGAAAACCTGCTGCTAGTAACATATGTGCGTTGTTAAAATAATTATGGAAATAGGTAATTATATTGTCATATTACAAAGGCATATGGTAAAACGCGGATAGGACTGGACTCGGAAAACGTGGACTAGACGACAGCTTTTGCCTTAATAGACCTTATGTTGGGCCTAAAAATTGTTAAATTTCATTTCACCTCGCTGGGAACTGAAAAAAACTATGGCAAATTACCTTTTTTTTATGTGCTGAGTCCATTTCTGAAAAGTTCCGACTCCTACCGCCTGCAGTTTTTTTAAAAAATGCGTTTCAAGTTTCTCTCATTTCAAACTTATTTGTCAACATCATTTACGCCATTTTGAATAATCTAAAGTCATATTAAAATTATTTTCCATCCCTCACAATACTGATTTAGTCGACCCCAGTTTCCTCATTTTAGCTTGCGCGTCTTTTGAAATATGTAAATGAGTTTCTCAAAGTTTCGCGCGATTTTTCGTGTTTTGCTCGGGCGTTTTATCAAAAGAGATTTTACTGTAGAGTTAGAGTTTTACGGTAACTGAAAAGTCTTGCAAATTTGCAATAATAAAGGCTGTAATAAACAAACCAGAAATGAAAGTACTATAACAAAATGGCAGGTAATAGTAATCGCATATGAACAATTCATTTTGATGGCAAAAAAGGAGATTTGAAATTTACTGCTGGAACTTTCGCCAAAGTAAGGATCTCCGAACACAGTGGCTAAGCCTTCCTCAGCAATATAAAGATTTTACAGGTGCAGCAAAAGAGTCTTAAACTAATTGATGACAACTCAGACGTACAGACCTTAGGTGAAGCTTGCGGCTACCACATGGGAGTTTTTACTCTAACTCCAGCATTAAGCACCCAGTAGAAGAAGTCGAACACGAAACAGATAAATTGAGTAAAAACAGCCAGTCAAAGTTGCTTGAGTCATTCGCTTGGCCGAGAAAGATCGATCCACTCCAATCTAAAAAGCGTGTCATCCAACATATTACCAGACATTTGCTTAATCTGTAAGCGTTCGGGACCCGTATACATGACTCATACGGTAAGTCGCAGATTTTAATTAATTTCTATTAATCTATCACTTATATTCTGTCGCCTAAAGTTATTTCGTTTATTCTATTGCCATAATCATAGCAGTTTTTCTCCAGGTGACCAAAAAGGGTGTCAAGCAAGAGTTGTCGGTATTGGAATGGATTGTTTTGCATGTGCAAATGCTAAGTCGTGGGAATCAGGGGGCCACTCTGCGGTGATACCTTCACTTTCACTCAAAAACTTTCGAATTTATGCTATCAAATATGGAGAAGAATACTTTCATCGTTCCGAGGCACCCCTGCTTGTTTCAGAACACCAGCATCGATAGTTTGGGCCACTGACAACTCTTGCTTGACACGCTTTTTGGTCACCTGAAGAAAAATTGCTATGAATATGGCAATTGTATAAACGTATAGGCGACAGAATATAAGTGACATAAATTAATTAAAATCTGCGGCTTATACCGTATCAGTGATATATAAGGGTCCCGAAAGCTTACACATTAAGCAAATGTCTGGTAATATGTTGGTTGACACGCTTTTTAGTTTAGAGTAGATCGATCTTTCTCGGCCAAGCGAATGACGTTTCGTATAGGCAACTTTGAATGGCTGTTTTAGACTCACTTTATCTGTTTCATGTTCGTCTTCTTCTACCGGGCACTTAATGCTGGAATTACCTATGGTTGTTTTTGATCTCTCAAGTTTACTTTATGTCAGTAAAATTCCGATAGCACTGGATGTGGTAGCCGCAAGCTTCGCCTAGCAGCGCAAGCTAAGTGAGGAAACTGGGGTCGAGTAAATCATTATTCTGAAGGATGGAAAATAGTTTTAATGTGACTTTAGATTATTCAAAATGGCGTAATGTTGACAGAAGAGTTTGAAATATTAGAAACGTTAAACGGATTTTTAAAAAAACTGCAGGCGGTAGGAGTTAGAACTTTTCAAAAATGAACTCAGTGCATGAAGAAAAGGTAAGTCGTCATAATTTTTTTCTGTTCCCAGCGGGGTGAAATGAAATTTATTTTAACAACTTTTAGGCCCAACATAAGGTCTATAAGTTTCACCTTCACATGGCACATGATTTAGTTATGAAACAAGGGCAACAAGAGGAGGCATCCTGGCCCAGTGTCCCTACTTTTCTAAGAAAGATATGCCCATCATTTGTTTCTTACTTACGACCAGTCAAAGAATAATAATTAAAGAAGTTTTTGCGTCATTTCAGTGTATAATGAGCTATATGAAATTCAATCAGGCATAAAATAATTCTCATCACTTAGCAATAAATTCCGTTAGACTTAAAAGGGATCGATAAATAAATTGTATTGTCAGTATACGTTTGATTTTACTTTCCAGATATTGTCGGGATCACTGTGCCTTTCGTGGCGAAAGTAAGTAATTCTTTCTTATAATTCAGGTTGTTGTAAACCAAAAACAGAGGACGAAACAGGAAGACGTGATCTCAACTGAGATTCGTGTGATAAAATAAGTAGCTTAAACAAGCTTAAACCATGGGTAGCCTAGAAATAATTTCGTGGCGCTGGCGTGTGCACGCGAGTCTACTCTGACTTTAATAATTACACATTACTCCTCAATTTTCGAATTGGAGGTGCTACATCCTCCCCTCATTATATAGGTATGGTCATCAATATACGTCCACATGCAACGCCTTTTGTATATACATTGTCCCTTGATATAATTAATTATTATATATTATTCTTTAAAATGAATTCTCTTAAATTCTTCTCAGTTTTATATTTTGCATGCCTGAACTGGGAAAATGTCCGAAATTAATGTAAAGGTTTACTTGGCCTTCTTATTAAATGCTGGTATGGCGGGTTGTTAGTCTGTCCTAGTTTTGTCAAATCCAGCTCTGTGTAGCCTAAAGGTGTTTTTGATTTAAATTCACCTCGACCTTCTTCATCCGGAGAATCTGACACGCTATTAGCTGGTATGACATAATCTGATTCGCGTTTGAGGAGTTTCTGGTAGTTTCTATCATCTGTTTCTCTGCCATCACGACGGATAATATCAAGCCCTGTATAAACAGATGGTACTGGTGGTGAATCGTCCACTTGTTCATATGGGCATGTTCTACTGTTCTCTGGAACTGCATATTCTATATTCTAAAACGAAAAAATTGGCGTTATTAAAATGACACGCAAACGACACACAAAAACTTGAACTATATATTGGTTTCTCCTTTACCTCGGGAAATATATTGGAGTTCATGATACTGGGGTTGATGAAACCTGATGGAATGCATAATTCTTGATTTGCGCTTTCGTTTAATTTAAAACTGCCGTTTTTTAAGCGTTGTAAAAATGAAAATGAAAAGCAGTATAACCAGTTGCGGATTCAGTCGATAAGTCAGAATTGCGAGCAATCTTGAAGCGATTGAAAAAACCACCATCCGATGGATAGCGCTATCCAGCTATCGTACAACTCATCCCAGAGCTACTCACCTGGATATTTTGTGGTGGTGGTTTTGTCACTGGTTCGATTAGAACAACAACCGCTGGTGCGTCTATGGCATGCTCAGTTTGGGTCTCGACCGCCGTATGGACTGCATTAATACCAGTAGCTAACTTTGAAACTTCGTAATTTCTTCTGCGTATCCGAAAAATGAAAACAACAAGCAATACAGTGCCAAGAGTTGTAGCAACACCAGCGAAAAACATCACAATCGAATTTGTCGTTAGCCCTATCAATAAATCAAAATAATTCTTGAATAAGGTGCAATCAATTGAGGTGGTTTGGAATCAGCGTGCATTCTTACACCCAAAAGACATGGGATAGAAAGAATCCTCTTTTCTGAATCGTCTTCCGCACTCCTTAAACAAATATATTTTGTTCAAATGAAATCGAGCATTTTTTCGTAAACAACGTATGTATAATATAAAGTCTGTAGAAGAACAGTAAAACTGTCCGAGACGCTGCAAAGTAAAATATTTAACCTTTGTAAATTCTCGAAATTACCAATTCTAAATCGAAACTTGAATATAAAATTGCCAGAATCACACAAAAAACCTCGCCCTGATATTTTTTGTCGCACCTCACGCTCTGTCCATATATCTAAATATTTATTGGCAACTTTAATCATTATTCTTGCAATAAATTAAGAACTAAATGTTTATTCAATGTATTTGACCGGTATTTGACAAAAAACCAGGAAGGGTAAATTTCTTACCCGCACATCCTGACTTGTAATTTTCATACATAGATACTGTGGGATCCTGCACTGGAACACCTGTATAGAAACACACTATGTTACAATGCACACGTCTCAAGTCGTTGCCTCCTTTCTTATGTTTAGACAAGGAAAATGTCATTATCTACTAACCTTTTACATCTTTTTCGAAAGCGCACCCATAAAGCTCAAGCCTCATACACACATTTTGACCCTTCATATAACCAGGATGTATCCTAACATGCCTCGCCTCGATAATAGGATCAAGGATACTACGTACAACAGATTTTGGATTTTTTGGCCCCGACAATATCTGAAAAGTAAAATTAAACGTATACTAACAATATACAATTTATTTATCGATCCTTTTACGTCTAACGGAATAAGTGATGAGAATTATTTTATGCCTGATTGAATTTCATATAGCTCATTATACACTGAAATGACGCAAAACTTCTTTATTGTTCTTTGACTGGTCGTAAGTAAGAAACAAATAAACAAGCTGTTTTCTTGGAGAAAAGTTTTTTGTTTTTGTATTGCATTTTTTGAAATTATTTGCGGCAGTTTTTTTTGGCGGGGGGTTCCAAACTAGAGGTCAATATATATACAAGGAGTACTATTTTTTGGATGTTATATATACTAAAGATTTTGAAAGGCAATGGGCCATTAATTGCTATGTTTGGTTGCGGAATGTTGTAAAAATAAGAAGAAAAAGAAGCTTGCCAATACTGCGAATTTTGCAACGAACTCTTTGTATCATGCAATATGCCTGGCCAAAAATTACGCCTTGAGTACTTTTGACATAGAAATACTAAGTAAGTGTCTATCTCTGCTTTCCTCTGATCTATCTTAAGTAATCTCTATAATTATATACTACCATATGCATATACCATGTCAAATGGTTTTTCTTTTTCTCTATATGCGTAATTAATCCAACAACCCCTTCCATTTGTGCTGTATGATATTTTGTAACTGTCAGCAAACTCTCTTCTTCCGTTGAACTCTTGTCCTTGTATCGCCACTCCGCTGATTTTAGTCGGATTCAGCAAATCAATTTCAACAAACTGGTCGTAGGAAATATTTTTCGCACTGAAGTTTACCCGGCTTGTGTCTGGACACCACGCACCCCATGGTGGAACATTGTGGTGAAGACGAGCTTGTTCAGAAGAAGCAGTCATACCCTGTCTAACGCTGGAATAAGTGATTTGTGAGTCTTTAATTTTTCCATCCTCCATACCAAGGTCCCTGTGGCATCCTAGGTGATAAAAATAAGTCTAATGTTCATCGTAGTAAAAAAACTTAATACTGAATTCGCGTTCAAGTGTGAAATCTGTTCTATTTCAAGCTTAAACAATAAATAAAAGTTTTTCAAAAACGTCTCGAACCGAAGCGCGTGGAAACTTTTTTTCTAAACGCACGGCTAGACTGAATAATGACTATGCTATTGCACGTGCGATACGTGCCATATAGGTCCTATATAAAACATGTGTAAATGTACATGTTTCGAGCTTATAAGGCCATGTTACACGGTGCGACTTGCGACTTTCAATGCAATTCTACTTTTGAAAGATGTAAATTAGTCAAGATTTCCAAATGCAAGTGTAAGTGTAAGAAACGCAATGGAGTGTAATAAAGACAAAAATTCTGTAGTTGCCAAATTTACATCTCTCAAAAGAATTGCATTGAAGTTGCAAGAAAAATTGCATCGTGTAACAGGGCCTTAAAATTTTTGATTTAGCATGACTTAGCGTTTGGCTTAGCGTGGCAATAATATCATCACACTGACAGCTATTGCACGCACTTTGAGGTAAGGCTTGAGTTACTCCGAGTAGCCAGATGACAAAAATATTCACAAGAACGTTGATTGTTGCTACCTAGTTTGAAAATAAAAGGAAATTTTAATTTTATAAAGAATAACGTGAATATGATTTTGCGACTGTGTAAATTCCTTCTAAATTCTATACATCACATGCAAGGCGTATCACGGAAAAATATTCATGGATATATATATTCGATCTTTTGTTATCTTTTGCGCCATGAATTAGTGGCGGGGGTTTTTTATACAGCCTCTATAATTTATATAATTTAGTCAAATTCATTTGCACAAATTTAAGCACAGCTCACAATTACAAGTTCATGCATTACGGAAGGAAATTGATATTTTCTAGCTTTTTAAATTATTTTCAATTTAATCCCCACGAGAATACGACCTTGTGCTTTTAATCTGAATATATTTACTTAAAAACAATTAAATGTTTTAAACAATAGATAACTAGGGGCAGGGAGCAGCGTGGCAACATCTTCTAACAACTTCGCATCAAATGTTGCATAGCAACTGCCTAAAACCGAGGAAATTGTCGATAATTCGACGATTATTTTGTCAATTTTTAACAGTTTTTGAACAGCTTTATATTCTTTTAATGAACACGTTTATATTCTTTAAATAGTGAACAAATTTATATTCTTTTAATAATGAATCATTCACTTCGCTTAATTTCTGCCAAATAGGGACAAATCATGGCCATATACAAAAATTCAAATGTGAAAGGCGTCACAGTGTACGTATATGTTCTTTGTTGAGAAAGGCGGAATATTGCAATTGCATAAAAAAGTGTTTGTTAGAAAAGTCTAGCCACTTAATGATCAAGTTTGTTTATAGACTTACGCAGCAAAACCTAACCTCGAGCCTAAACTAACATAACCTAACACCTAATATGAATTTAATAATATGCACTTTGATTTAATAGGTCGGCAGAATACCCGTTTGTTTACCAAAACTTGTTGTTTTAATGGCGAGCTTTGTCGTGTAAGAATACCCCGTTTGTTTACTGAAACGTGTTGTTTTAATGGTGAGCTATTTTATAGGTATTTCTGGTATGAATAATTTGCATGTGTATCGTCCCAAAGTTCTCAACGATTATGTTGCCTCATAATGAGGACATCGGTGTATCGAGTGAGGCGTTTTAACAGAAATGCAGGACTCATATGAAATCAACTAGTACTGAAACGATTGTAAGACCTCTTTTAATTGCTGTATGAAACTTGAACGGAATCAGAATCAGGAATCGTTATAAAGCCAGTCTTTAATTATTTTTGATCACGGTATGACATTACCATAACGTGCTTTAATTTAGATACTTGATAAATTAATTCCCATGTGGCCTCAGTAATTCAAGCATAAATTGTAGCAGCGTCGGATATCATAAACTCCTGTATGATAGCTGTGTAACTGAGCCAAATATATATATTCACCATGCACTCGTTCAGTTTACAACCTGATCCAGTGATCCTATTTACAGGCCATATAATTAGATACAAACAGTTTATATAATGGTTATAAGAGTGAAAATTACTTGACGAAATGCTACTCTAAATAGCTAGTGTTTTATAATTTTCTTGTATGATTGCATGGCGACTTTAGTAATTATAATAACTTGTAGGTACACCACAAGCAGTATTTAATACTTACGTGGTGTACCTACAAGTTATTATAATTAGTGTTTTATAGTTGGTATAGCAGGAACCATCAATTGAGTATTTAAAAAAAGTCCGAACGATAAACTTTTATATGGTTTCAATTAATCAAGCTAGGTTTTATAATATATTTGTGTATACGTCCAGCTATATATGCGTTTTGACTGACAGTCTATGTTCCAGTTATTTAGAATTTGTTGAATATAAAAAAATATCCTGAACTTACCGACATTCTGTAAACCATCTCCAATATCACGCAATCGACTTTTATGTTGTTAATTTGCAAATTCATCAAGGCTACGTAAATTTGAAGGAGATGATACCGCGTTTATTTTATACAACAAACAAAGTGCTTACGGTTTCCGTTTCCGACAGGGTGGGATCATCTCATCTAGAAAAAATATGTTTTTGCCAAATAATACGAATAAATTTTAGTATGTTTTTCTTAGATAATCGTTTTAAGATCAATTGTGTATCTGATCAATCACAATTTTATAACCTTGACTGGAACCTTGATATTCTAAAACGTAACTATGTTCTACATTAAGAAATTTCAAGATTAACTCAGTTGTTTTGATCACTTCAAAATGCGCGAAAATATTGTAGCTAAAATACTTTAACTTAATCCAAATTTCAGTTGTTTTCATAAATATTCTTTTAAAAATACCTATTTAGTCCCAATTTCAGATAACTAAATCTCCATCATTTCACTGTTAACCTTACAAGAAAAAATCTTCGATAAAAACTTCGCTTGTTTTCATTAATCTACTTGACTCCATTACCAAAAATTTGCGACATGGTGATTTGCATATAAACTAATTTGCATATAACTTTTAACAATAATGGCTTAACTTCTACTATCAAATACATACAGCAAAAGTACAACACCTAAAATTGCCTTTGCCCTGGATGTTCCCCATCGTTTGCCGACCTCTGGATCAATAGAACAGCCGTTTCACAACGTTTTGATGATCGAATTATTTACCTTGGGTGTTTCTACGTTCCGCCAACCGACTCTTTTCAATTGTGTATATACCGCGCTATTGTATGTTGGTTGAACTGCCTATCAGACTGATAATATTTTTTAAAGTGCAACTGCAGAAAAAATCCGGACCGTACAGGAAAGTTCATAATATTAGGAATACGAAGACCAGATCTTCACACGTCAATTCATCACAATCCAAATCGAAGTGTTCGTATGAATGTGAGCGGTTTTATAAGCTCGTTGAGACGGCAAAAATTTTGGGGAATATGTTCTTAAATTTGGCGGACTGCAGAAATACCCAAGGTAAAAGATTCGGTTATCAAAATGTTTCTAAACCGATTTTGTCCCCAATTTCTTATAATGAAGTCCTTTCTGCTCTTCAGAGTCTCGTATTAGAGCACTTAAGCCTGAAGTCTCACCATAAGTCCAGGGGCCAGTTGTTCATAGCCAGACTAGTAAGCGTTATAGCGCTAACTCTGGGTTAAAATTTAATCCAGTGTTTTATTTCGTTTATGTGCTTCCGAACCACTGCATATTCATTTTAAGATATGACATTGGAAATGCTACATCTCCCCGCTTTACATAGGTATAGTCCTTAATATAAGTCAACACGCAACGCCTTTTGTATATACATCCTAGCCTTGATAATTAATAATTTTATTGATACTCTTTCTAATTAATTCTTTTCAGATTTAAAATTCTCATTCCTGAACGGGGAAAATCTCCGAAATTAATGTGAAGGTTTACTTGGCCTCTTTATTAAATGCTGGTATGGCGGATGGTTAGTCTGTCCTAGTTTTGTCAAATCCAACTCTGTGTAGCCTAAGGTTGTTTTCGATTTAACTTCACCGCGACCTTCTTCATCCAAAGGTTCTGAAGCGCTATTAGCTGGTATGACATAATCTGATTCGCGTTTGAGGAGTTTCTGGTAGTTTCTATCATCTGTTTCTCTGCCATCACGACGGCTCATATCAAGCTCTGTGTAACCAGATGGTGCTGGTAGTGATTCGTCCACTTGTTCATATGGGCATGTTCTCCTGTTTTCTGGAATTGCATATTCGATATTCTAAATAAAAAAAAATTGACGTTATAAAAACAACACGAAAAGTTGGGTGCATAGTAACACTTTGCTTATACTATTGTTTTTTGTCCTATATTTCGGGAAATACGCAAGTTTGGTTACATGGAACCTTGAATGCATTGCTTTTCCTATCATACGTACTCCACATGCACCCCTTGGCAAAGAGGGTCTCGCATACACCTGAAATTTACTTTCTTTTCGTGTTAATCTTTGCAGAGTTAACACTGCAGAGCTACGCACCTGGTTATTTCGTGGTGGTGGTTCTGTCACTGGCTCGGTTGGGACAACAACGGCTGGAGCGTCTATAGTATGCTCAGTTGCGATCACGGCCGGCGTATTGACCCCATTACTACCAGTAGAAAATTTTGAAGTTTGACAATTTCTTCTGTGTATCCAAAATATGAGAGCAAATAGCAATTTGGTGCCAAGAGTTGCGGCAACACCCGCGAAAAACATCACAATCGAATTTGTTAGGCCTAGAAAAATATTTGGTCAATGTGAGCCAATCTTTTTAATTGAGGTGGTTTAAAATTTAAATTAAAAATGAAAATTTAAATTGATTTTGAATTATTCCTTTCAAAGCTAATTTCTGTCTCAACTTTTTCTGGCCAATTCTAGCTTTTTAGTAGATAACTAGCTAGTATAATTTTTTTATTATCATATATCATTTGTCAAGTTTGGTGTTTGTATGTTTCCATTGGTCGAGAGCGAATCACGTGAGTTTTCATTACTAAATTCTAATGTCGCCCGTGAGACGCCCTGCAAAAGGAGATAACGCGAATTTTTTAATAAATATTTCGTTGTTTTGTGTATATTTAGAACACGCTGTTGTAAATAAGTTTAATTGCTTTGAAGATGCCGTGAAAAATACAACGAAACGTTAGCCAATAAATTTTAAATCTTGTCATGACTTTTTGAAAGTGATTCGTTTAGCTTATTTTCATTTTTAAAATACGCTTTCCGCCTGGTGTTTCCATCGCTATACTGATTTGGAATCCACGTGAGCGAATCTGTCAACTCAGCAGAAAAAGTGATAAAACTAGTTAGGATTTTCCTACTTTCATAATTTTTTTGCAGGAGCAAAATCCTCTGGATATCTGAAAAAAAAGTACTACTTGCCAAATGACATTTTCAACAAAAATGCTAGGACCATAATAAACTATTAAACCTCGCGCTCTGTCAAAATTTAAATGCATGTTTATTAACTATCTTTTTATTATTCTTAAAAGAAATTGATGAAGAATAAATGATTGGTCAATAACTGTGGCAAATCGATTAACGATTTGTCAATGACAAATTCCTATTATTCAGTATTTAACAAAACATGCATGGTAAAGATAATTTCTTACCTGCACATTCTGATTGGTTATTTTCATGCAGAGGGGGTGTGGGCGTTTGAGTGACGACTTCAATACCTGTATGGAAAATATACTATGTTCATAAGAGGACGATGTAGTTATGGGATTAGTATCTATATGGGATTAATTATGGGATTAATATTTAAATTTTGTGACCAGAGATCGCAGACATGAAATATGCAGATTGCCGTTAATGATTTACTTTAGTTTAATTTAATGACTTTATCAAAAACAATTTACAACATGCATGGATGATAGGTGAGCAGACAGAACGTAATCCCAATTGAGTCTGCCTATCCTACCCTAATTATGAAGTTTCAAACTAAAATTCAATAAAACAATTTGCATATTTGTTCAAATATCTTTCAATAATGAAATAATTAATTATATGGCACATTCGTGAATTCCGAAAGTGGAGAAGTTTTACGAATTTTTCATTTCAAATATATTGTATTTCAGTGGTTGATATCGTGCCAAATGTCCTTGAATCCTCGTCACTAGTCGCGAATAAATCCCATATGTGTGTCTGAACTGATCACCTCTCTCCTTGGGTGAAACAAGAGCTACCGTCACAAATATCGTTACCTATATACAAACCTCTTATGCCATTTTCAAGTGCACACCATACAGCTCAAGCCTCATACACACATTTTGACCCCGCATATAACCAGGATGAATCCTTACGTGTCTCGCCTCGATAATAGGGTAAAGGATACTTCTTACAACAGATGTTGGATTTTTGGTCCCGACAATATCTCAAAGGTAAAATCAAATGTATACTGAAAATACTATTCTTCGTACCTGATATCGCTTTCATTTTTTTAAAAACGTTCTCCCCTTCTTTGAAGGTTAGTTGGTTGGAAGAAACAAACTTAAATGCACAGTGTACTATCTAGGAGAGAATGGGCCGCCGAAAAATCGATAGATAAGTGGGTCCTACTCTTTTGATATTATAGTATATGTTTGGCAATGCAACTTTGCAAAAAATAAGTAGATAGAACTAGATAGAGCAAATATTTCAAGTTTTATACTTCTTGTATCACGTTGAGTACTTTTAGCCTAAAAAAATATTTGTCATTTTCTCTCCTTTTCTCTGATCTACTTTCAATGATCTCACTATATATGATGTGATGAAAAGGAAACTTTCCAAGAAAGATTTCCATGTTGCCATACCATGTCAAACGGCATTTTTTTATCACTATATGCGTAATAAATCCAACCACTGCCATTTATGCTGTACGATATTTTGTAACTTTCAACAAACTCTCTTCCTCCGTTATACTCTCGTCCTTGTATTGCCACTCCACTTATGTTGATCGGATACAACAAGTCAATCTCAATAAACTGGTCGTAAGAATTGTTTTTTGAACTGACGTTTACACGGCTTGTGTCTGGACACCAGGCACCCCATGGTGAAATATTGTGGCGAAGACGAGCTTGTTCAGAGGAAGCATTCGTACCCTTTCTAACGCTAGAGCATGTGATCTGTGAGTCTCTAATTCTTCCATCCTCTAAACCAAGGGCTCTGTGACATTCTAAGCGGCAAAATGTTACAATTGTCGGCAGTGGCATAGCCAGCCTGGCGATTTTGCCCTGCGCTATGTAAATTTCAACTTCTTATAATTATTCATATATTTAGAAACACCAAAACAATAGCACCAAAATATTAGCATAACGGAACAAATCGTCAGGCTGGGTACGCTACTGATTGTGATTAGATGTATTTTAAAACTATTATATTATTCCAATATCCGTAGTAATAACATTCATAGCACGTACTTTCAGGTAGAGCTTGAGTTATTCCGAGTAGACATATAGGGAAAAATGTCGTAAGAACGTTGATTGTAGCTGCCTAGTTTAAAAAGAAAATAAAAATTCCCTATTATCAGGTAGTGCATGTGTGTCTTGGGGTGGATCTAAGAGTTGTTTTTCGACGTACGAAAAATCCTGGATCCGCCCTGTGAATATTTATCTTAAGTTCTTCCCAAATTTCGTTTATGAAATGCAATATATTTATATCTATATATTTATATAATTGCATAGAGCAGCATTCCGTCAACTGCATGGCTATCTCTTGCGAATTAGGATTAATCCCCCAGCCGGTGAGAAGCACCGGGCGAGGGTGATAATTCCGCCCGGAGATTTTAATTGCGCCTGCGGGAATGCAAATGCGAAATCAAAGTTGTCCGCCATTATGTCATGGACGTTGGGCGTTTTTTTAAGTTATGCGCTTGCGTGAGTTTAAAACGAGTTAAAACCAGTGAACTATAATAAGACTGGAACGATAACTCAACAATAAAGACTAGTCATTGGATGAAGCCGATTTGAATATAATTTGCTGATTAAGGCGGGAGCCGCGCGAGCAAATCAAGCCTTCAAAAAAACTGGGGAGAGTGAGAATTCCGTAAAAATCGTATTTTTTGGCAAAAAATTGCCAGAAAAGTGCAAATTTTATTTGACCACTTCAACTTTAAACAACGAATTTACCCTTTTTGGATAGACCTAAGTAATCCGCATCATCTTACTGTAAAAACCGGCGAGGTACCAGCTTTGTACTGAAAATATTTAAAGAAATTGAACGGGCCGAAAAAAAACTTCGCCTTCAACTCGCAAAAAAAATAGGTTTGCACCTTTTCATGTTCATAAAACCTGTTTTTTAGTAAAATCTAAGTGTCAGTGCTTGTTTTAAGCTTTTATTCATGATCAGATGAGATGGATTTGTGTATAAAAACCGGCGGTGTTTTGGTGGTGTAATTTCAACTCTTGGCCTTCATGGCGGCCATAGTGCTGCTTTCAAAGATGGCGGCCAAGTTATCGTTCCAGTCTTTTTAGAGTTCACTGGTTAAAACATGTAACTAGCAAATGTTTGGAAGCGTGCTATTGGCTGAATTAAAATTTTGGTTCCCGTCAGCATAACTGATATTTTGAATTATAATTTTTTTTTAAATATCTTTCAATTGGATGATTTTGAAAATGTACGAGAAATTCACTCGTAAAATTGATTAAAATACTGATTTTAGAATAGATTGGGAATAAAGGACATTTATTTCTGTCATGTTCTTAACTCTCATTTTGTAGATAATAAATTAATTCTACTTCTAGAAAAAACCTGCAAATAAAACAGTTTGGAAAGTTTAAGTGTGCATGTGAAAGCACGAGAATTAGAATTTCAATAGCTAATTACGCTTCTGGTATCTGAAAAGCCGGAATCTTTAGAAGAGGAAATGAGAAAAGCCGGAATGTTTAAAACAAGGAATGGGAAAAGCTGGAAACTCTAAAGCAAAGAACGAGAAAAACCGGAATCTTTAAACAATGAGCGAGAAAAGCCGGAATCTTTAAAACAAGGATAATAATAGATAATCTTATTGGGGCGTGCACGTATTAAAGATAAAAAAATCATAATACCTAATTTGTAACTAATTTTCATTTCACAATTACTCGACATTTCATGCTATTATTAACTGATGAAAGGTATCATTGGAAAGCAGAACAACTGCTCTTTCATATACTGCAAAATAATTAAATAATTAAGTTCAATATATCAAACGTAAGAGCCCGTAAATTTCATTTCCTTTTTCTAAGCCGTGTATATATAGTTGTTATTCCCAGTGTTGATAATTTGATAATTCGATGGCGTTGTCACTCTCAAATAGCACACTCTCGAATGAGCCACTTTAAAAGCAATCTACACTCTAAAAGTAGCTGCAACGTATGTAGCTAGCTATAATTAAGGGCTGTTTTACAATGCAACTTGAACGGCAAAAATCAACAAAACATCCGGGCAGCTATAGATATGGCTATAAATGAGACACGTACGCGTATACATATACATAATATACATATAATAATTTCCTTCAGGATTCATTTATACATTCCTGCAGCGTATTTCAAGCATAAATTGTAGCAGCTTCGAAGATCATAAACTCTTGAATAGATAGCGGTCACTAAGCAGAAAACCTTTATTGCGTATACGAAATAATATATTCACCATTATATGACTCGCTTATTTAGCTACTGGACGCTTGATTACTAGCTATTACCTAGCTGCCTTAATCACAAACAGTTTAATAACTGTAATCATGTAAAATAACCGGTTTATTTTACGTTATGCTTTTCTGTTTCTAAGTATTTTACCACTAAGCATTTTAATAAAGAAAGTACTTCCGAATATGATCATTTTTAATTCCATAGAATCTAGCTAACCTTTCGACTATGTTTCCATCATGGACCAGCATTTGTAAAGAAGTAAAAATGACCTCAACTTACCGACATTCTGTAAATCATCGAGCAATTCTTTGTGCTGCTAAGACGTGCAGGCCAACTTAAGTTTGAAGGAGCTCTACCTTACATATGGCGTCTATATGTGCTCAAAGTATACACTTAGGGCTTCCGTTCCCGACAGGGTGGGAACAAAAATATTTTAGAAACGAAAAGAATAATGATAATTGTGTATAATCTAAATTGGTTAGACTTTAGTATGTTTTTGATTACTACATTTTAAGATCAAATCTTTAGTTTTCCGTATTGGCGGGTTAAGTATTTTGACAACCTTTCAACCTTCGTATGTATATTATATCCCACATGACAGTGGTGTAACCAGATTTTGTTTGAAAAAAATGGTATTCTGAAAGGTATATATGCTTTAACATTGGGAAATTTAAATTTAAAATTAGTCTTTGTCCTAAGTCATCAACACATGTATAACAAAGGCCATCGGTCGCGGAGCCTTTTTTACTTCCTTGCGGTAATCCACCCTGACCTATTAAGTCAATGTCACTTATTAGTTATTACAATGCATATAACAATTAATGTTATCTCTTATGAGCTTTATAAAAAAAAGTGGATAACGTGAGTTGAGTGTTTTTATCCACTCCGTAGTCTAAAAATATAGCTGAGGCAGAATTCGTCTTGATTTCGCATAGAAGAAGTAAGTTCGCTTGCGGAATAGTGTATTAAGAGCACCAAAGGCTAACGATTTTTTCTGTCAAGCCAAAATTCAAAAGTTTAATGCATACATCCGACAGAAAATGTTAATATATCTTTGTTAATATTTGTCACTATATACACTCCTAATCAAAATCCTGCTCTATGCTTTTCAAAATCATCGCAAATACACATATTGCGGTTACCGCATAACCCATGCACATAGCGATAAACCACAGTTGGTATGATAATCTATGACTCACTCGCAAGCAATGATTTTTAAGAAATCGGCCGGTTGTATATGAAGGCCGGATGACGCTATTCACCGGATAATGATTTTTTCAACCGTTCTAAAAATACTTGAAAAGCTATAAAATTTCTAGCTAATAATGAGTTTAATGAAAACTATAACAAACAACGGCCGATTTTTAAGCGATTGAATAAACCACGTACTCTGGCTTTCATACAACCGGTCATCATAATATGTAGGATTGTGGATCAAATTTTGAATTGCCGTAAACAGGCAGGTATAAAACATACATACACCTGCCTGATCAGAACGTAAAATATTAATAATCTATTAAATACTTATCGTGTACAAAAAATTATGTAGCTATAACCATACTAAATACAACATTTTGAATCTTATTTTGTGCGTAAAACTTCCGCAAATTCTAGAGGATTTGCGAAAATTTCCCCACCATCGAAATAACCAAAATAGGACTCATTTCACGCTAATATAACAATATAAAGTTGAGCATGAGCCTCATTTATGGAAATGACTTGATAATTGACGTCATCATTTTTAAATTTATCCGGTGAAGCCGTCCACACGTATCCGCTCAGCCGTTGTTTTCAAATTCTTCCACTCTGGAGTGCGTTTTCAGATTCTTCCGTTTTCAGTGGGCGAAAACGCCGGATACGTGTGGACGGTACGCGGAACCGTAAGATTATTCTTGCGTTATCGGCGAATATTCCGGCGTCGTGTGGACGGCGCCTACGCTTTTTCTCATGTATACATAATTATTAAGATCTCGCGGCTAGATTTCCTTCAGATTGAATCTCATTACGCGCCTTTTTCTCAATCAATTTGCTTGGAAGTCTCTTTTTAAATTCTTCAAGACCTAGCACCTGTAGTCAAGTCGATCATAGAATCTATTTATTTCAAGAACACTAGCATTCGGAACACTAGAAATGCACGTCAGTGACGTCACGTGTAACCGTCTGGAAATGTGTGTTATTATATTATTTCAAACTATTTTCTGATCAACTGTCAATTATCTGATCAACTAATTATTTGCTCAACTGATTTACCAGAATATTTACATGAAAAGGATAGAACGTAGAAATTTCGGCAATGCTTCACATTACTTTCTAATTATCAGATGTTGGTAAGAAGCATCACATTCCTGGCCAAGTTTCGTCAAATCTAGCTCTGTGTAGCCTAAAGGCGTTTTGACTTCACCACGGCCTTCTGCGTTTGAAGGTTCTGACACAGTATGAGCTGGTATGACATAATCTGATTCGCTTCTGAGGAGTCCCTGATAGGCTCGATCATCTGTTTCTCTTCCGTCCTCATAGCGTATATCAAGCTCAGTGTACGGAAAGGGTACAAGTCGTGGATCTTGAACTTGCTCGTTTGGGGACATTCTGCTGCTACCTGGAATATCATAATCTGCGACCTGTATCAAAGAATTTTTTTGTGATTAGAACGACACATTTATCGTAGCCCTAGGTGTCCGCTCTAAAAGGCTATAGCATTTTCTTAGATATTTTTTGCGTGAAATCTTTCGCTATTATAAAAATATTAGGTCAGTGAAGGATAATATGAATTACACACAAGGTTACTAGAAAACGGCTATGGAAGGGCATAATCTCATAATGCAAATCAATTAAACTTGTCAACTGGAATTCTTACAGCAATTATATGAGCAATTCTTCTTCGCACTTAATTCGCAGGCAGAAATGGCCTTATCGTATGTGAAGGAAATCTTTCGCTAGGGGGAAAATTTCTCCTCCTCCTCCTCATATATATAGTTTACAAATACACTGTTAAGTTTCGTGAAAACAGCATGCCATGAGTAATAATGATCAACAGAAACCATTTATATCGGAATCTGAACACTCACCTGTCGATTTTCTTGTTGTTGTTCTGTAGCTGGTTCAGTTTGGAACTCGACCGCTGTTTGCATATGGACCGCATTTACACTGGTCGATTTTGCAACAAGGCGATTTCTTCTGAATGTCTGAATTACGAATACTGCAAGGAGTACGGTGCCTAGGGTCATGGCAACACCCGCGAAAAACATCGCAATCGAATTTTTTATTTGCCCTGCGTATTAAATTGAATACTTTGATTAGTGTGAAACAAGCTAGGTCTATGTGTAGGGACAAGGCGGTGAAGCTCAAATGATAAACATTATAAAAAGAAAATGTTTACTAAAGTACTATATAAATTAAGTTATGCATAATTTTTGAAGTCAATTAAACAAAAAACTAACGTCGATGTCTGTTTAAGGTGGCTCCCTACAGTTTTAAGAATATTGAAATCTTGTTGTTTTGATTTAAAATTTTAGCACGAGATTTCTTGGTAAGGATAAGAAATTTCCCATATATATTAACCAACATTCTAACAGTCAGAAATTACCCATAAGCATGACGTCATCACCGTTGTTATGGTAACAATGGCGATTCAATATGGCCGACATTTTACCTATTCATGCATTTTACTCGAAAACAAGTTCGGTTACCCCAATTTTTTATTTTATAAAAAGTTTTCTTACAAAAAAATGGGAAATTTGAGCAAGTTTAAAAAAATTCTATGGAGCCAAAAAATTTCTATAACGAAAAATCACGTTTTTTCATTTTTAATAATTTTGGCTCCATAGAATTTTTTTTAACTGGTTCATGTTTTCCATTTTTTTGTAGGAAAACTTTTTATAAAATAAAAAACTGGGGTAACCGAACTTGTTTTCGAGTAAAATGCATGAATAGGTAAAATGTCGGCCATATTGAATCGCCATTGTTACCATAACAACGGTAATGACGTCATGCTTATGGGTAATTTCTGACTGTTAGAATGTTAGTTGATATATCTGGGAAATTTCTTTTCCTTACCAAGAAATCTCGTGCTAAAATTTTAAATCAAAACCACAAGTTTTCAATATTTCAAAAAATTGTAGGGAGCCACCTTAAAGCAGATACAGCTCTGTATTTTTGAACATAAACCTAATCAAGTTGATTACTTGCCTTCACAGCCTGCAAAAACCGTCGTATTTGTGGAGGAATTCCCTTTCTTCACTGGTCGACCTAGAAAATGCACTCTGTTTAATCCAGGCGATAATTTGTTTTGTATCTGCACCACATGTCTCAATGGCATACTTAATGTTTTGCATTTTTGTTTTTAACATGGATTATATACGAGGTTATAAACTCAGAGTAGATTTACAGGGACATATTCTGTCCTTTTTAGACAAGGGGCATACTTTGCATTTTAGATTTCTTCGAATAATTTGAATGCAAATTAACAGCAATGTGTAACGCCTATATTCAAAAAGCTCACTCACACTCACACTCATTGAGTGTTACATGTAAATTTTGTTAATGCTGATCAATGAGAAAGTTTTCTCTGAATGAGATGGAAAGATATAAGGTAAATCACTGAAAATCAAGCTCCCTTTCGGCTTGAAATACCATTATTAAACGTTATGAGAAGATTAAGATCTCCCACTCAATAAGTTTGAGTGTGAGTGAACTTTTAGAATACAGGCGTAAGTATTCGTTTTAATTTTGGAGCTAACGACGTTTTTCGTTAAATTAACACTTACAGAGGCATTTTTGTTTCAGTTGAAAAGATCGCTTGTCACCAAGCTATACCTGCTGCTTTTACTTTCATCTTTATTATATACAACAATTTTATACCAACTAACCTTTTATATCTTCTTTAAATGCGCAGCCATATAGCTCCAACCTCATACACACATTCTCACCCTTCTTATAACCCGGATGAATCCGAATATGCCTCGTCTTTACAGTAGGGTTTAGAACTCTACGTGCAACAAATTTTGAATTGTTTGCCCCGGTCAGTATCTAAAAGACAAGATATTTCTGGCATTTTTGAATCGCTATCAAAGAAAGCTATTGAATAAATTCAATTTTTCAATTATTGCTTTTCAATTTTACTCATTTCCGTCTGGCTATACGCCCTTTAGAGCTTAGAAGACCTAAAAATGGTCTTGACACCCAATCCTTTAAAGTTATCTCGACCTTTAGTGACAACTATAAAAAGATATTTGAAAATACCAATCATACCGTATCAAGTAGATTTCCCCTTATTCGATACACGTAATCGGTCCAATCGTCTCCATTCTTACTGTATGATATTTTATAACTCCCAACAAATTCTCTTCCGCCGTTATACTCTCGTCCTTGAATTGCTATCTTACTGATGTTGGTCAAATGCAATAAATCAATATGAATAAACTGATCGTAGTTGATATTTTCTGCACTGGACCCAAAGAGGTTTGTATCAGGACACCACGCACCCCATTGTGGAATATTTCGGTGAAGACGAGCTTGCTCACCAAACGCCGTAGTTCCTTTCTTTACACTAGTATACATAATCTGAGAAACTCTAATTCTTTCATTTTCCATGCCAAGGGCTGGGGACGTATAACATTCTATAGGTGGTAAATTTTGTGTAAATTGATGTTCATGATTAAACGGCAGTGATTGTTAGCATGCTTTTCGAAAGCAGGATAAAATTATCCACTGATTTGTGATTGATTTAACGGTGGTAAAAATGCTTTTAAAAGCCATCATATTTATAATAATTATTAAAAACAATTTTCACTTGAAAAAATGTGAAGTTTGATTTTGGCCATGCTAAAAGTTCATATTTTTTAACTTTTTGACCGACCCCTGATATCAGGTCTTTGTCTTATTTCTAAAGACCCGATTACACTTGCAATTTTTGCTGCGATTTTATGTGCGATTTTCCTCTTTTGATAGATGTGAACGAGTAATTTGTTACGAATGCTCTGATGTGTTCGAGCTCCTATTTGAACACCGTAACTACCTCACTCTTTCGTATCTGTCAAAAGACGATAATTGCACACATAAAATCGCAGGAAAAATTGCAAGTGTAAACGCGGGCCTTAAAGCTTTCTAAGCATTCTGCACTGGATAGCAATTAAATCATTATAGTGCACGTACTTTCAGGTAGAGCTTGAGTTACTCCAAGTAGACACATAAGAACCCATTTCATACTGAGAACGTTGGCTGTGGCCATCTGAAATAATTTTATATAATCCGGTAACTTTTATATAATAAATTCTATATAACGAATTAGGTAATATACGATTATATATGCAATGAGTAATTACCAAAGATCATGTATGTATATTGGGGGCCGAATAATTAATACCGATGTTGTTGTTCAGTTTTTTCTTTTAACTACGTGGAGAACGAGAAAAAAAATTTAGAACAAAGTTATTTATAAACGACAGATCATAAAAAACCTTAATGAAATCCGTATAAAAAACTGTTTCTTTAAAAAATTTTTAGTACGTTTTACAACAACAGGTAATTGGTTAAATAGGTATATTTTTCACACCTATACTTTTCATGTTGACCAGTGTATAACTATAATAGTTGTAATTATATTCTCGGCTGTATACGAGTGGTAAATAATCTACAGTTCAAACTAAAGCCAATATAATGTATTGACTATTGTACGAGCTCTTTGTCAAGTATACAAGGCCACTCTCGAAGCACCGAGATTTTCTTTGTACCCTTCGGTAATATTACTCCAAAATAGTGTGAAGATGAAAACAGGAAATTTTGCGTTGCTGCGATTCTAGCTATATATTGTCTAGCGTAATCTTGTTTGATGTTCAAATTTTTAGATACATGCAGTATAACTTCAAATTTTGAGATATCAGAACCAGCTACGCTGCATGTATCAACTGTCCGGACGATTGGGCACGCTTATTACTGAAGCAAAGAAATATCTCAAACGAGTCTAAAAGCATAAATAACGTATTGTCCCAAAGTTATTCTGTATAGCGTCGGTATACTCACGATTAGGATGCCTTCAAATGAGGCATTCGTACGGTGAAATCGATAATTTAAAAGCTGATAAATGAGCATGGTGCTGGCAGTATCACCTTGACATCCTTGACTTTTAGCACAATTGAAACGCGCTTGTATGATTTCAAACTCTTTCTGCAGATATTGCCTGGCAGGCTAGCTAAATTTCCGTGGCTTAGTAATTTCAAGCATAAACGTCAGCAGCGTCGCTAAGATGACTGCTTCGACGGCGTCGTAGATCAAATAAGTTAAACTGTCTAATGGTACGGCGGTAAGTATATTCCAAATGTTTACTTAAAATTAATGTGTTCACTAATATTAATGCAATCTTAACGACTCGATTATTTCACTAAAGGTGTACGTAGAGTGAAGGCATCAAGTACAAACCTTTGATTCACTATAACGCTAATTATTACGCTTTTAAATAGTTAAATAGAAAATAGTGCTTTGGTGAAATACACTATTTTACGTTTAGTGTTTAATGTTTATAAAAACGACGACCCCAATTTGAACTGCTCTGAACCACATGCAAAAACTTACCGATTTTGTTAGTTAAATGTCACACAATTCTTTCTACTGTTGGATTGGAAATTCGCGTAACCCAGTTTAAATCGCTTGAAGTATATCTATCAACTATGTCGTGATTTGTCGTATATTATGCATGATTATTTCACTGGGCAAACGAAACAAACAAGGTCGGTTTTCCGGATGCTGTCCTCACTGAGCCCTTGAAACAGACGTCACACTTACTTTTGTTTGCCTTCCCCACAGTGATCTCTATAAAACTTGGAGCCATTACCGACGTTGTTTAGCCGTGACCTTTAAGGCAAACGACGCGGATTCAAAAAACAGTGAACAGTTATTAATTTTTGTCAGCGTGATAGTGAAAAGCCCAAACGATAGAAATGGCCTGGTATTCCTCCTTTAATTCAACTTAAATTGCTATTAATTGCCAGAAATGAGGGAGTTTTTTTTAACCGTTTTTGCCGTAATTATCGATATCGGAGTTTTTTTTTAACCGTTTTTGCCGTAATTATCGATATCGGACGATAAAAACTTCGTTCATAGATGTAACGGATTTGCCTCATGCAATAATATCCAACTGATTGTAAAGAAAATCTGGCTGATTGAGAAGGTTGTCATCTAACTGTAGGCGAACTTTCTCATGCATTCACCAATGTCTCTAATAAACTAAGTTTAAAACTAAGAATAGCACAGCTGCAAAGAACATCCCAAAACTATGTAAAAGTGTCAAGTTTAGTGAAGAAATATTCCCAAAGTGTGAAAAATATCAGCTGCACTGAAAGTTGGCACATTTTGCATTCTGATTAGATGAAAATGCAGGTGGTTGTAATTTTTTTGGCAAGATATACCGATTAACCTTCTCAAAGCGTTCTTTGTGAAAGATATCGTTGCAAATGCACTCTTTTCATTATAATAAGCTAAAAATTATTTCAATTCTAAAATGTTAGTAAATCCAATGTTAGTAATAAAACTAATATTATTATAACTTTCTTTACATGCACTAAAGTTATGTCAGCGACCTATACCAGGCAGAATTTTGTTATTTTCGCGGTTTAGGGAGGTGTCGTTGCTAACAAAGAAACCTTTTTCCTTTATGCTAAGAATTTTACGCTAAACGTGATGCCCAATTGGATGGTTAATTGTAATAACCCCAAGAAAAAAAATTGAAAAAATCATTGGAATAAGTTGCTATGAACAATAATATTAACCTTCCTAAAATTAAACCTCTTCTAAATTATGAACATTCTTTTGTCTTTCGTTGGTAAAAGTGCAAGATGAGAGCGATAATCCTGGATAAAATATCACGATTATTACCGACTATGCATGCTCACGTACTATGTGTACATCCGATCCTGCATGTTGTGAGGATCATCGTTATGCTGACAGCCTGACAAGGCATTATAAGGCATGGTATAAGGGATATAATTTGGAATTACCATATACAGGCACAAGCATGCATGCAGATAATCAATATCCTTCCGACAGGAGAGTCCACCCGCCTATGTTGGCGATAGAAATCCCATATGTTTTTTTATGACGTGAAAAGTTTTATCAATCAAATTTGTTAAAAAAAACAAAGATCGCACTAAGATTATACGGATTGAACGCCAAGTTTCGAAATGATTACATAGTTCTTTCCATGTTTCGATATCGTAATTATAATTATATATTATAGTGCGCACAATTGGACTTGATTAATAAACAAGGCGCCTGCTCAGGCGTTCACTCGGGCTACAGTTCTCTCGCTTGAGCTTGTAAAGACCAATTCTTGGTCTTATTGCATGTTCGTGTCACCCGCGCGAGAAATTATCCCAGGATGATTTCGATACGTTCAAAGACTTAATTCATGCCGCCCACGCGTGATTTTCGTAAACTCGCGACGCACATTTTCTGATGTAGGGCTAAAAATCTCCGACTTCCTTATATGCTAAAAGTTGCAAGTAATTACTATTGATACAGCTTCTCAAACTGTACGTTATGTTACTGTTATAAAGTTATGCCAAGTTACGTTACGTTGCGTACGTATATGGTTTGTTTTAAGCAATTTTAAACTAGCTTCTAACTCATACCGATCTCGCAAACGACTGAATATACCAAGCATACCTATATCATGCAAACACCAAGCCAGCATTGGCGCCGATCTTTGGAGACCGAGGTCAATTTAATTATAGGGTTGACACGTGACATACGTCACACGAACGCAAAAAAACTCACTAAATTTGCTGGTTTGAGATTTCTTCCTTGCAGAGAAAACCACACTTATTGCTAAGTATTTAGATAAACTCAATAATTTACAAGCACATATAGTTGACGTCCTCGTGTAACAATATCATTTATTCCCTTCGCGTTTCATTGCATTATACTTTATTTAAAGGATTGTCTATGAATTACTTAGGGACCTGTTTACAGGGAGCGAGTTATCCCGGCTGGGCGAGATAAAAAGCGCATCATCACATCAAAGGCTTGACTTGATTTGTCTTGCATTATAATTATGCCGTTCTCACCTCGCCTATAGCCGGGATAACTCGCTCCTTGCAAACCCTTACATAAAAAAGCCCTTACATAGAACTGGTGTCCATCACAACTTAATCTCCCATTAATTATAGCGATTTCCCAGTAGGTCTTTTCGAAGTCGTAAATGTTCTGCAAATGATAAACGGGTTTTTCGGTTACCTCTTTGCTTGATACAATCAATGTTTGTTGAGTGTTTCCTAAAAGCAATGTGTAAAAAATTTGTTATCACCGAAGTTCAATAAGCAAACACTTCGATGAATGTTAAATACTTGTTTTTTAGCTAAATTTAAGCTAATTCTTTGCCCGTGAAGTCAGACCTTTTAGCATAATATTTAAAAGCCAAACGCACACGACGGGATTCTTGAGTCGTACGATTTTACTCGGCCGATTTTATTCGGCAAATATCAGACTGTTTTGATACATTTCGATTGCATCTGGCCACTAAAATCGCTTAGAATGACATCGCACACGCAAGGATTTAGTAGGCCGAGCAAATTCGTACGACAAAAATCGCGTCGTGTGCGCCTGGCCTAAACGAAGAACTTTTATCAACTCTGTGGGACTATAATAGTAAGGGCTATAGACCTTTGACTCCTAAACGCGACCTATGACGAGTTCCCGACTCTCCTTGTGGCATATGCTAACTAATGACATGATTGTATGAATGAATAATTTGCAAGCTCTTTGTTTACAACGGAGCGCCATGTCGGCTATAACAAAGGCTTCTACAGGCCATTCATAACATCTCGCTTAAAGAAATGGCTGAAGATGATATTCGACTGGAAGATAGTCTGCCAGAATACGGGTGGCGAATTAAACTCGATCATACTTTTCCGCAAAAACCACGGCCAAGCAAGTTGCCGAGATGGAGACAGCTTCCAAAGCTGGTCGGCCTTGGCTATCGGTAATATGACTTCGGATTATTTCTCTGGAGTTCTCAGTCGCACTAGCTAGGACAGATTCAGCGAAACTCTGAAGTTCTTGCTTCGTGTGCATAATATATAACCTGCCAAATATCCCTGCAACGTGCACTTGATGTCTTGAAGTACATAGAAGAAAATTTGGCCGACGATCTTCAAGTCGGCCCCGGCAGAGGTCGTTGCTTATGCAGTCTATACAATTATATAGCTATCAAATTTTCGTTTTTAGGTTTATGAAATATGCTACAAAAGAGAAAAAAGAAGGAAGAGTGCCTTTTATAGACCCTTATAAAATGAATCCTTGTCGTCAAGTATACGGTGAGACAAACGTTGAATCTTTAAAGAGCTTGTATTTATTTTGAAACATTATTTATAGGATTTTCGGACATTTTATCTTTAATATCCGTGTGTATATGCGTGTGAAAGTGATTTTACACTCTTCACATAGATGAAATTCGGGAGTAATACTTTTAAACAAAGACTAAACTTAGAAACTGTCCCAAATTTGACGTGATAGCCAAAGTATTGAATAATGGCTCAACTTTGCATTGTTGTACGAATATGTTCAGGAAAATTATGCAAAAAAGATATATTTACATGCAAATTGTTTCAAAGGTATACATTACAAACAAAATGCTTCGCAAAGATATTTAATTGATGTCATGAAGCCCTTCAAAGTAAACTTTGTTTTAGAACTTTGTATTCGGTGCACCATCTGCGGTGAAACCTCGTATGTACATAGCACCGAGTAAATATATAGTCAAAAAACAAGCGGTAAAGCTTGAAGCAAACCTTATACCTAAATGACTATGTATTTATGAAGCGCTTACGTTCATATATTTTCTTGAGCTGTGCTGTGTCAAAAGCACGGTTGTAACACGTAACTCGTAAGATATGTTTGCTAGCTATATTTTTATTTACAATTTGTATTTATTGTTTTACATATACAAAATGAAGAAATTAATCATTCGTATATACTGTCTGAAAGTAAGATGTCATGACGAGGTCTCCGAGGACATGAAGATAGCAATCTATGCATACATATGCAAATACAAGTAACTTTATTGGCTATTGTAAACAACGGCAGGTGTTTGAGGTCTTCATGAGCACAGAGACCAAAATCAATATACTTACTAGATATTTCACTAGACAAGAAACAATAAAGTATTGTATTTTAACTAAAATAACGATTTTTTTCATAGCTTCCATTTTGAACTGAATATGACTTCCATTTAATACACTCGTGTTCTGCGGAGCAAAAGAAAGAGAATTACGTTGTGGCAATTGTGCAATTTCTTTGCAAAAAACATTGCAATCACAAAGTAGGCTTTTAACAGTGGCTTCCAAACGTAAATAGTTGAATCCGTTTGCTATACGATGTGATACGATACTCAAAAAGCCTTTGCTAACTATAAAAAATAACAAACAATATGCGATGTAGGTACATAACTTTATAGAGGCATAATCAAATTACTCGACCCGAAAAGTAGCCAGAAGTTTCAGACTTATGTTTCAGACTTAGGAACAATAAGTATGAGAAGTATCACCCATGCAAAAAAATACTTATCGGCCAATGTAACCTGTTGAACCCAGTGCCTTTTTCGCACCTCGCGAAGTTCTCGCGAACCAACTCCTATTATAGTAATGGAGTTATTTTTCAAAGATCGATTGTTTTTCTTTTGTGGTTGTATACCGTCCCGAAATAATTCAAATTGGTTGCCCTGAACATGACTTTATTTCTTGAATATTTCATCATCGTGTTGTGATAATTGCGTTCATCAACAGGGGTTCCGCTCGGTGGTATTGGATGTGGTTCCATCGGTCGTGGTTGGAAAGGGGATTTTAATCGATGGCAGTTAACACCTGGAATGTATTCGTATGATACTGTCCACGCAGATCAGGTATGGAACGGGATGTTTTACGCCCTAATTTGTTGACTGGTCTGAAGCTGGACTGAAGCTGCTCGAAGGACCGGCTAGGGTGGATTATAAAGGTTGCTATCAACTTACACACGTACAAGCACGCGTTAGTCTAAATACTGATGGAAGGGCTAGTGAATTGTACTAGTGAATTGTACTAGTGAATTGTACTAGTGAATTGCACTAGTGAATGAAATATACGTTTATTAGTACTAGGAAATTTACAATAATCAAACATGCATTAAAACTAAGTATAACAGTTCTACAGACTATTTACAAAAACAACTTAACTAGACTCCCTAATGTTCGAGTCCATTCCGACAAAGTGATATCATTAAGTGATGCGATGGACACATTCCTCCAACTTCGACAGCCACGAACACACACCACACAAGCTCTAAGCAAAGCAAAGGCGATCTTTCGACGTAACCAGCTAACCACCATTGTACTAGTGAATTGTACCAGTACTAGTGAATACATGGAGAACTTTGCTTTCCTCGCATTTTGACAAATATAGTTGATTAATGTGAAATAGTTAACATATGTATGAAAATTTCCGTGCTTGTATGTGTGCGTATAAAAAAACGATTAATTCATTCGGTAAATAGATAAAGACTTCGGTATTCCAGGGTATATTTAACAAACCTTATTTGAATCTTTCCTCAGTTTGTCGTTTGCATAAGAAGAAAAGGGAAAACCGTGTATCAGGTGAGAAAAACCACGATTATTTTTACAAGAGAGGGTTCACCTAGGCTCTAGAAAGGGTTCACCTAGCCTCTGGAGAGGGTTCATCTAGTATCACTTAACCAATAATTTTGACAACACTTGTGAAGTAGATTTTGTTCATGAATATTTGGAGCTTGACCAAATTCGTGCATTCGTGTATTTGAAGCTTCCTAATCTTTTTTCAGTGAGAACTTGACTGTGTTATAAAGCTTAATCACACCCACATTCACTTGAATATGAGTGTGACATAGAAATAACATTCTTGCTGAACAATGAGAAAGTGAGAGAGCCTTCTCATATCTCGCCCACTTAATTGAGATATCCCACTCAATCAATTAGATTGCGAGTGACCTTTAAGAATACGGACATGCATGAATGTGATTGGATTGTTCCTGAAAACTGTAACTTTGATCGACTCAGCTCCGCCTATTAGACACAGCAGTTATGAAATGTGGACCATTTATTTCGCCGTTCGTCATGAAAAGTTCGTGATTTTGAGTATATTGTAGCTTGAATTTATGGTTATTTTGCAGCAAGTACTATCTCCACAATGCACATCAAATGGTCTGCTCTATGGACACAATTTAAAATCATGGAACTGGGGTTTCAATGGTGCAAATGCAATTTATCACGCATTGTATCCAAGGGCATGGACAGTTTATGAAATACCATCACAGCGAATACGGCTGATTTGCAGGCAAATATCTCCTATCTTCCCAAATGATTATAAGGTAATGTGTTATATAACATTTATAATACGCGCGTGCTGATTGGTCGAGCCAAAATTGGCAAGGGAAGTAATGTAATGAGAATTTGTAATTGAATCGAATTATAATATTTGTAAAAAATCTTTTTTTGAGTTATATTATAATAGAAATAGAAAAAATTTTACTGTGTTAATATACAGTTATAGAAACACTTATGGGAGTCTGGGAAAACTTGAAATAAGGTGGAGGAAATTGCCCTAATCACGGGCTCGTTTTCTCGTTCTCCCAAACTCCCACGCGTGTCTCTATAACTGTAAAAAAACACGGAAAATGTTTTCTATTTTCTAAATAGTCACCACGATTGCATATAAATTCGCGCTTTCAATCGTCTTTTGTCCAATCTTCCCCAACCAATGACTGGTCAACCGCCTTGAAGTCGAACTATCTATAGACTATACAGTGCCATTATTATATCAACTTTAGGACACCAGTTTGCCAGTAGCCGTGTTTATATGGACAGTTCAAAACTACGGAAAAGAAGATGCTGACGTAAGCATCATGTTCACATTTCAAAGCGGTGAAGGGAAACCCGATGATGCAAGTTATGGACATTACAACGAGCCGTTCACGTGCAAAGGCATCCATTCTGAAGTGGGAAATGAACAGAAAGCTGGACAAGGTATCCTATATAATTATCTTATATGCTTATTGAACAGTATTTTATACAAGTGATATGTACACTCTACCCCAACAAGCCAAAGGGTGTTGTAGATTGTTTTACAACACAGTCAACCGAAGACTAGCCTGCCCGCAGACCCCACCCGAAAATTAAACGGGAAATTAGGGAAATTAATCCTAATTTTCGATTTTGGGCTGCGAGCAGGCTAACCAAAGACCCATCTTATGAATTCTTTTCGAAAACCCATATTATGAAGTATTTTTTATATTTCCTTTCACAATTTGCCGATAGGCAGCAGAAGTCATGTGATAACTTGTGATGTCACTGGTGTACTACTTCACAGAAACGCTGATCCAGCCTGCACGTACGTCATCGCAGCCAAAGCCAAACATCAGGTAACCACTGTCGAGCACAGGAAATTGCTTAAAACATAGAAACACTTGTTGCATTGCTGTCGTGATCTATCACATTCAGTAGCGTAGCCAGCCTGACGATTTGTCCCGCTATACAACCTCGTACCCTGGCGCTTTAATAGTAAAATATATAACGTTGTATCAAGGTATTTTATAGAGTTCAGCTGAAAAAAACAAGGGTGCCTGGGGTGGTTTTGTTTGGCGAGGAGGCGCCTGGCAGAAAATAACCGATTTCTGGCAAATCGTGACCGATTTCTTAGCTGACCTTTATACAATAACTGAATGCAACATTAGCTGACCTCAATACAATAACGGATTGCAACATTTTTTACTGTTAAAGCGCCTGGGTACGAGGCTGCCCACTATGCTAATATTTTGGTGTTCATTGACTGTGCAAACCATTAATTTCTAAAGAAATGAATAACCATAATAACTTGAAATTTACATCGCTGGAAAAATCGTCAGGCTGGCTACGCCACCGATCTCATTATATCACCCCAAATAGACAAGGAGAATTTGTTATCTCCTTCTCACAGGAAAACAACCCGCTTGTTCGTGTTACATGGAAAACCATATTTGATGCAAAGAGCCCGGGAAGGCGACTTTGGCAAGACTTACACGAAGATGGCCTGTTATCCTCTAATCCAGGTATGGGGAAAGTTAGGCAGCCTAATAGCCCAAACCTGCTCTACTTTAACACGTTTGACGATGATTTTATAATATTTTCAAGATCCAAGTCATCGGAGCAATCCTGGCGAGGCACCAGCAGCAGCTGTTGCAGCTTCAGTCACTGTCCCCGCTGGAGAGCGTAGAACGTTAGAATTTTCACTCGCCTGGGATATGCCTATCGTTTACTTTGGGTCGAAGAGATTAAAACACTACAGGTAATATGATGAGCAATTTTTAACCATGACTAAACCCATACTAGTTCCAATGAATATAATACATACACTCAAACTGCTCTAGATGGTACACGAAATTTTTCGGTTACCATGGAAACGCTGGTTCGACGCTGGTCAGCCATGCCTTGAGAACTTACACAGAGTGGGAAAGTAAAATCGATGAATGGCAAGAGCCAATATTGAGGGATAAGTATGTTCTATTAAACTACATTATTATAAAATGTTTCGCGAAACGATTTGTTTACAACGTCTTCCGGGTAACCCCAATCTGTAGCTATTCGTATCGCTTGTGTCTTGCTGAAGACAAGATTTTGTATTATTTTATTCTAGAAACCTCCCTGCTTGGTACAAGTCTGCAATATTTAATGAACTTTATTTCATTGCGGACGGTGGGACAATTTGGTTGGACGTGGCGAAAGAAGAGAGCAGAAATATCGAGGTCAAATATCTGCCGGAAGTTGTTAAAAATTACGGGAGATTTGCGTATCTTGAAGGTTAGTGGTTGTGTTTAGACGACGGTTCAATTGTGATTTAGCGCCAGCTTAATGGCAGTTGAATGCTCTAGTTAATTTACATCAGTCCAACATCGACCTGTCTCGGGCCCACAAGACATAATGTTTCCTTTAGTTGCGGCAAAGAAGTTTTTTATTATAACTATACCACCGCCAAAGAAAAGCCAAACAGTAAGGGAAACAACGAAACAGCTATTCATAAGAGATATTATTTTAAATGGGATAACAGTTTAAAGGTGGCATGTCCACGTGCGCCACACGTGATTGAAGTTGCATGTGTTATTTCCCATGAAATAACGCGTTGTCACCTTCCGCAGGGTATCGCTCGCACGTGATTCGCTCTCGACCTGTATCACACCACGAACGCCATACTTTGACAAGCGGTATATAAAAAAATGGTATTCACGTATCATAACATCCTTCTTACTCGTTTCAGGTCATGAGTATCGAATGTACAACACGTACGATGTCCATTTCTACGCATCATTTGCCCTCATCATGCTCTGGCCGATGTTGCAACTAAGTCTTCAGCACGATATCGGTAAATTCACAGTGGTTCTTGCATGATTTACTCGACAAAATATTCCGACTCAGCGGAGCTTTAGAAAAAAAGATCGAGGCATTTACCAATTTCCAACATGCCTGCAGTCTGCATCGTATTCTAACTTTTCTTTGCCCTTTTAGCGGATTATGTCAACAAGAGTGACCTTAAACAACGTTTGACGATGATGAGTGGAAGATCGTGTCCTAGGAAGGTTCAAGGTTGTGTGCCACATGACATCGGCGATCCAGGTAAGACGACAGGCATCTGACTTCAGCTCTTTTCTATTAAATTCAAAATCTGAACTTCTCAATATAGATGATGAACCCTGGACAAATATAAATGCTTACACAATTCACGACACTTCTGAATGGAAAGATCTTAACCTTAAATTCGTACTGCAGGTACAGCATTATCTTACTGATTTTGATATCACCAGATTAAAACCGATAACGGTCACTACAACTGCATCAACAGCTGACAACATGAACAACTATTACTTTGATTCAGCATCGATTGTTACAATATTTGATGAAAAATCAACTGACACCTCCATTCCTACATTTAGCTTTATCGTGATTATGTTTTCACTGGCGATCTTCAATTCCTTGATGACCTCTGGCCTGTAGCAAAGGTCTGTGCAAATGGACTCACGGACTCCCTTGATTACTACATATATGTATACTTCAATTTATGAAAGGAAGATGTGATTTAATGTTAGGCCTATACCAAAATCATTAAACTCTGTAAAGTTCCTCTTATCAATGTCTTCTCAACCAAAACTAATTGTCTTCAGCACAAAAGAAACCATACGGTCCGATCCGGTCCGGAAGATAATTTTCCTGGCTGGAAACCAGTCTAATACATAACTATTTTTCGTGCTTTCACAAAAAAATATCTCGCACTTACTTATTATATATTTGATTACATTAATGGTTTAATTTTTTTTGCTTCCTTCATAAAGACGGTTATGGCGAAAGCAGTAAGTCAGGACTCGGACGGTGATGGATTGATCGACAACTCGGGCTTTGCTGACCAAACATATGACGCCTGGATTGTGTCGGGAGCTAGGTACAACTATGTTTTCAAATACAATAATCCAATTTGGAGACTCGAAAATCCCTTCATCAACAATCGATATAACATGTTATACTTATTCAAGCACCCACCCTGTGATGAAAACCTACCATGAATCAACACACAAGAAGAGCAAACTTGTTAAGGTTGCTCCCTACTATTTTACGAATTTAGAAAACATGTGATTTAGATTTTAAATTTTAGCACGAGAAAGGAAAATAAATTTTCCAGATATACACCAACATTCGAACAGTAAGAAATTGTCCATAAGTATGACGTAATTGCCGTTGTTATGGTAACAATGGCGATTCAATATAGCCGACATTTTACATATTCACGCATTTTACTCGAAAATAAGTTCAGTTACCCCATGGAAAATTTTAACAAGTTTAAAAAAATTCTTTGGAGGCAAAAAATCGTTATTACGAAAAATGTTAATATATCTGAGAAATTTCTTTTCCTTTAGCAAGAAATCTCGTGCTAAAATTTAAAATCTAAATCACAAGTTTTCAATGTTCTTAAAATTTTAGGGAGCCACCGTAAAATGAAAGACCAATGATCCCTAATAAATAAAAATAATTTCTCGATGATGCAACCTAAAGGTTTTCGTCAGGGGCCTTTGTATAAAAGCCGGATAGCGCTGTCCACCGGATGGTGATTATTTAATCTTTTCAAAAATGTTCGAAAAGCGATAAAATCTCATTTTTAGAACCAACAGTTATTAAAGAGGGTCCTTGATTTAGGAGTACTAGGATTTAATCAAAGTTATAGCAAAAAACGGGCGATTTTAAAGCGATTGAAAAACCACTATCCGGTGGATAGCGCTATCCAGCTTTCATACAACCGCGGTCCCAGGTGTGGAGTTATTACTAAAAAATATTCTTTTCTGAAAATTAACTTTCGTAATTTTCGTCTACCAAGGATGTTTTTACACCAAATTTTCGAAATTTTTACCGAATCGGATGACATCAAGACTCTTCGGGGTGATTCATTCTCACAAACGTAAAACGTCACATAAGTATCTTGTCCGTTGAATCAAGGAATAGTTCTGACATGCAGCTAGAAAACTTTGAATAATATAAGACCATAGTCTGCTATTATTCAATAAACCATATTCGTTTTCAGTGCGTACTGCGGAGGCTTATGGTTGGCATCGCTTCGTACAATGTCTGAAATTGCCAAAGTTCTTGGCTACCCTGAAGATATTAAGAAATATAACAACATCCTACAACGCGGAAAGAAAGCTTATGAGCGTAAACTATGGAATGGTAATGGAGGGTATACTACGGTGTATCGCATATAGCATATATCTTGGTGGACACACCCTGCAAATCCATAATTATATAAGAACTCGTCCTTCTCTCTTAAACCTTCCAGGGGCCGGTTCTTCGCAAGGCGTTTAGCTTAAATGGTGGATAACTGTTCAAAATGGAAAACAAAATTGATCTATTTATTGAACAACTGAACTGAAATATTTCGATGTAAATAGTTTAATTTTCAATGGAAGTGCATATTAATGCAAAAGATGTACGAGAGTATTTTTAAACTTTCCCTTATCCACCGTTTAAGCAGTAAACGCCTTTCGAACAACTGGCTCCAGGTGTGTGTGTGTAGATACCAGGGATACCTTAGCCGAATACAATTTTAAAGCATTAAAGGAGGAATTTCAGCCAATCAGCAATTAGTATGTTTACATTCTCAGGGACCCAATCAAAATGCATAAATATTGATCACCTCTGGTAAGGTACATTATTTACCATCTAACATGAAATATTAAAAATTCAGACATTCTGATTGGGCTGACAAATGTAAACCAATTTTCTGATAAGTTGAAAACGAAATTCATCCATGTTCTTCGCGGGTATGCTAAAATTAAAAACAAGAAATGTGTAATAATCAAAAATCGAATTTTTCTTTTTATTATTACACAGGTCGCTATTATAATTACGAGTTCAGTAAACGGCGATATCATAACAGTATTATGGCAGACCAAATGGCAGGACAATGGTATCTCAAGGCCTGTGAAATTGGACAGCATCCGAATGACAGGGTGAGTGATTAAATTCGTGAATGCCTTGGGTCTTCTACGAATCAAAACGAAATGATTATGTATTGAATTTGATTCCATGTTCAGCACGTCCCAAATATGTTAAGTTATTTTGTACATAATAAGTTATAATAAGTTATTGTGTTGTACTCTTCAGGTTTTCCCAAAAGCTCACGTGATCAGTGCACTGACAACAGTATTTGAGTACAACGTGCTGAGATTCCACAATGGTAGACTTGGAGCCGTGAATGGTATGAGGCCCGATGGAAAGGTGAGAGATTACTGCGGGAAACTGTTGGGTAAAATATAATTTAGTATGAAGAGCTCAAAATGTTAACTTGTACCTTCTCGGAGAATTGCAGATGGTAGATTATAGATCATTGTAGAAAAGTACACAAATTTATTAATCACATTGCATTGGGCATTGGGCAAAACATTCGTCCATCTCAATATCACTCATAGAAAATAAAGAAATAAAGTATAATAAAAAAATTCTTGGTTTTAAAAACGACAGACTCTGTAGCTATCTATTGGGGGAACAGCTACGGTTAGAGAATTCGAATGGAGCGAGGGATTAAACCATTCAAATTCATCACATGTAGGTCGACACCAGCAGTGTTCAAGCAGAGGAAGTATGGACTGGTATCACATACGCCGTAGCAGCTTCCATGATACAAGAGGTATTTCTATTTTTACGATCTGGTTATTACGACCTTTTATTTTCTTATGGCTAGGCCTTTAGCTCGTAACTAAGATTGTGATTCCGATTACTTTCCAATATATTTATTCTTCAACACTATATTTCTATACCTAAACAAAATAACGTCTCTATACCTTTTAAACTCTTGAATTCTCGTAAGAAAAAGTATCTAATTGAAAAATATAACAGGGCTCAAGGAATTCCTCCTCATAACTACATATCGCGAGTGGTAGAACTACTGAGGACTACTGACTGGACGAACCCACGAGTATACAAGATGTTTAGACTATGATATAGGGTGTGGCTATATTATAGTATGAAAAATAAAGGGTATTTGGTTGTAAAACTAAACGATATTTAAAATTCCAGCTAATAGTATTTATTCGAAAAATTTTTTTAGGGATTGGTAGAGGAAGGCTTTCGGACAGCATGTGGAGTTTACCGAAGCTGTTACGAGAGATTTGGAATGTCCTTTCAGACCCCCGAGGCATACACTGGGAACGGTCGTTTTCGTTCCCTAGGCTACATGCGACCGCTGAGCATATGGGCTATGCAGTGGGCGTGGGAGAAAAGGTCACAGAAAAAATACGGTACGCAATCCTTGAGTCCAGCTTCTTCGCCGTGTGCAAACGAGTTCTATCTGTTGAACGGGTATTCGGAACACGAAGAACACAACAACGTGTTCATCTGGGAGGATCTTTCCCTAAATGTGAGTCCAGTAGATACCCCAGAGAGGAAGCTCTCAGCGGGGGACTTGACGTCGCCCCTCGATGAGGACTTTTATGTCGATGCATATAGTGACTTTGAGGATTACCCAAGTATTGGGGTCCGAGCAAAGTCTGATGGGGATTTGAACCGAAGTTTGACACTCTCTTCGGGTTCTTCAAGAATGTTCCGACCAGGCACATCGACCAGCGGTGAGTTCGCGGAAAACGGAGAAACCTCAGATTGTTTTCACGAAAGCATGCCCGGATAAGACGTAAAAAACAGCCAATATCGTATCGCTACACTAAGCCGGTTTTCCACTAGGCGGAATTTTTCGATCGAACGATCTTTTCAATTATGACCGGTGAAGGGAATCCGCTATGGCAGAATTATCACAATTCAAAAGAATATCAGCCGGAAAACTTCGTTCCGCCGAAAAATTTCGCGTAGTGGAGAACCGGCTTTAGTTCTGTATGAAGTCGCCGAGACATTAGAGACGTTTGGCTTCACGTTTACGACAACCCTCTAACGGCAAACAGAAAAATTCATTTCGAATTTTCAAAACAAATGCTAGGTTTCGGAGGCCGAGAAAATTGGCCCATTATTCTCAAACGTATAGAGTAACTACTGAGACAAATTGTGGGCGAGAAAGTGCCAAAAATCTAATTTTAAATGTTATTTGAAAATAGCTGTTCGCGCGGTTTGTCATATTGGTTAAGTTAAAGGTCTCTAATAAAAAATTCCGCTCCGGGCGCCAAATTCCGCCTAGTGGAAAACCGTCTTAACACACCATCAACAATCGTAAAGATCTCGTTTTCATATTTTAAACAATAGTTCAGTGAGTTTTAGGATAATGTTATATATATACAGATAGGGGCATCTATTAACCTGTTAATTCATACTGGAGGTATATATTGACGGAGCTAAGAAGGCTGGCCTTTGAATGAACATGTTGTATAAATCAGGGACAAATTTAACATATATATTTCTTCAACAGATTTCTAAATAATAAGTGGTAAGCTCGAATAAAATAGAAAAGTTTAACAATAAAATAAAACAAATTAGGTAAATTATTTATTGTAAATATATAGAATTCATATTCCGCGCTATATTTTCAACGTCAATAATTCCTAGTTATAATATTTCATCTAATCCCGCAAAACTGGTACAGGTGTTACTAATGCAAATAAGCGCATAAAAACACACTTGGAAAACTGGTTTAATTATTTAAAAGCGTCATTGAATCATTTTTGAGTCGAGAGTTAAACCCATGCGGACAAATATAATTTATATAACTCCGTTCAAAACAACAAATCGCGGTATTTCCCATTCAGGTAAGGTAAATATATTTCTTTGTATATATTTAGCTATATCTAAATATAAATACAATAGCTGTTGGATATACTTGTACTCTTCGATAAAGTTTATGAGAAAAATATTTACATTAAATATGTTAAACAAAATAGATGAAATCATCTTTGGAGCTTCAAAAATTGTCTTTATATAAAAGCATAGTTACGTTATGTGGCGTATATGCTTACAGTTGATATAAAAGTATAGTTTAAACAAAAACCAGCTCGTCTAAATACCGCAATGCACGGCCTTAAATCCCTTATAGTTGTTCGTTACAGTTGTCTTTGCAAACAATCTTTTCCTTAAGTGATTTATCTTGTAGGTACACCACGTAAGTATTTAATACTGCAAAGCTTCTGGGGCTGGTTGTATCAAGCCCGTTTAGCTTAAACGGTGGATAAGTCAAAATTAAATAACACTCTTTCATCTCTCTTGAACGAGTCAACTTGAATATTATGCACTAAATATGTAGTTGTAAACAGTATTTTGTATTATGGTTAAAAGCGTTTAGTTTTGCTTGTTGAATAAAACGATACACTTGCTTTCTATTTTGAACTTAGCAACCGTTTAAGCTAAACGGGCTTGATACAACCGGCCCCAGGTCGGTTAACCCGGACATTCATCAGTGCAATGCATGATTGAATGAATGACCAAAAGCTTTGCAGTATTAAATACTTACTTGGTGTACCTACAAGCTAAATTACTTATCGACTGTCACAATGCAAGATACAAGAATACAAGAATATTAATCTTTTCCTTCTTGAACACAATTTAGCATTTCCATGCAGCTGGGGCCGCTTGTATAAAACTCTTAACTACGTTTTAACTACTTTTTAACCACCCAACTGTAATTAAAACGTAGTTAACTTTAATCACGTAGTTAAGCCAGTTGTATAAAAACGTAGTTAGCGTTAACTGTAGTTAAAATCCGGTTAAAGTAAACTATCCTCAAGGGCATCGTCAACTTTCCAAATCGTATTTATAAAAATTGCGTCTTGAGCTTTTGAGGAGTGAGAAAACATTAAAATCAACACATACCAAGGTTGTCAACCGTTATCCACTCAGAAAAGGCCCCGTCGAAGCTTGTAAATTTTCAATATGCTTTTATTTTTGTCATTTGGGCAGCAGCGGAGTATATTTTTGCTTCGGGAGACGTGTCGATGCCAGCGATCAAATTACGATCCTAGCAAAGATTAGCCATCTCCATTTTCAATTGCAACCGGTATTTTGACTCAAAGGGACCTTTTTATATTAAGAGCGCCATTTTCGTTGAATTATTTTGAACTTTTTCCTTGTTTTATTGCATTTTTACAGGCATCCTGTATTACTTAGATACATTGATTATTCATAAAAAATTACATTCTTTAGCAACATAAGCCGAGCCAACAAGACCAATGGCAGAAAGTGAAGAAGCGAGAACGAGTCACTTGCCTGAGAGATCACCAACGTTCACAGCGCGCGAAAGTGAGATCCAAAAAGTTATTAGTTTTCTCAACAATGAAGAAACGGCCGTTGTCTCTCTTTATGGCCGGCCTGGATTTGGCAAGACAACAATTGCTGTCGAATTGGCACATCAGCTTAACGAAGATCATAACATTCTTGTCATTTTCTCTCGTTTTACTACCTCCGTCTCTGAAGATGAAATGATCCTACAACTATGTTGTGATGTCGGTATCAACCAAGAAAATGACCCCAAGTCATCTTTAGCCCTTTGGTTGAAAAGTATCCATAACAAAGTAATTTTTGTTTTGGACAATGTAGACAATCTGCTCGCGTTTTTCTACGAGCTTATTCGTTTTCTTCGAAATCACTCCAATCAGCATTGTCAGATGATTACTACCTCTAGGATGTCTTACCAAATACCAGGTCACTCGATTGCGAGAGTTCAAGTCAGCGAGATGGACAACGAGTCTTGCATTGCGCTATTACAAAAAATGTGCTCTAGTCATGAAATGGATGATATTTTCTTGCAAGAATTAGCCGAACTATGTGGTCAAGTACCTCTTGCCATGTGCATCGCTGGCACCAGAGTTCAAGACTTTGAAAACTCTGATGATTTATTAAGGCAACTAAAGGATGACCCATTGGAGGCTTTACAAAGTCCCGACGGTGACCAGTTCGTCACAAGAGCTGTCAAAATGTCATACGAAATGCTAGATAATGAGCAGAGAATAATTCTCGCCCGTTTAACAGTCTTTGACGCAGGTTTTGATGATATGGCCGCTAAAGTAGTAATAAATGAAAGGAACTTGGATATTGAAGAGATTTTAAAGAATTTCGTTTGTCGAAGCTTGATTAAACTAGCCTGTGGCCATTACTCCATCCATCCCTTGATTAAACGTTTCTTGATGGGTCGTTTAGGTGAGGGAGACGAAAAGTGTGCACAAGCGTTAATGGTGGGACACTACTTGGCATTAGGGCACAACTTAACGATGCAGAGTTACTCGAAAGACGGTTACAAAGTGAACAGAGAAGCTCTCAAAGGGGAAGCACATCAAATCCAGAACGTCCTTAAAATTTGTTGCAACCAAAGAGATTCCGACATCATCGTCCGCCTTACTCGTAGTGAAATTTACACCACCTCTGCACGACTCTTTTCCATCTTCATAAGAACCGTCATACCTGAAAATATTGTCGACAAGTTCCTACGACTGTGCGCCGATCTGGCTGAGCAAAGGAAGGAATACGCTATTAAAATAGATTTTGATTGCTTGATAGCAGCGCAAAAACGAAGTCAGTCAACGTTCACCCCAGACGTATATAATGAAATGTTTGAAAAAATCAAAGAGGAGTTTGAAAGACTTGGAAACGTGGAGGAAAACCTGTCAGTTCGTGCTCATTTTTTCTACCAACACGGTAGATATCTATCGTTTAAAGCTGAAAACTGTACATTTGATGAGAGACCTGAATTTTTGGCTGAAGCACGACACCAGCTAGAAAGATCATTTGAGATTAGAGAAATGTTAACAGAGACCACAGTGGAAAAAGCAGACAAGATATTTACGGCTTTACATCTAGGAAATATATGGAAGAGGATCGCAAAGACTGAATTTTGCAATTTCCGACAAGAATCCAGTGAATCGACCAAAAAAGCAGAAAAAAATTACAAAGAGGCTTTACAATTATCCATAAACAATTTAGGTGAACACGAACTTACATCAGCGTGCTACAAAAATCTTGGTGATTTCTACTTACTCCTCCGTGTTAATGAGAAGGCTATAGAAATGTATACCAATGCTAAACGAATGCGTGAAAATTTGGATCTTGAAGCCAGTGGAAAACACGTTAATCTACTCAGCAATTACGGAAAATGTTTGATTCGTGTAAGACGTGTAGAAGAAGCAATAGTTCACCTCGAAATTGCTAGGAACATAGCCGAGAAACTCGCTATTAACGACGAACCAAATCAATGCAAGGCAAAGATCTACACATCACTAGCTATTGCATACAAGGAAGCACGAGGAATGAATTCTGAAGAAGCAGTGAGTTGTGCAAAAAAAGCACGGGATTTCGATGGAATTATCAGAGTCGTCAAGGAATACGAGTATAATATCATACAGCAAATTGTACAAAATAATTTGCAAACAGCTTAGACACCATAATTATAACCGTATAAGCCCGGACCAAAAGCCCTGCAACACTAAATAACTCACGTAGTGTTTCCACAAACGTCCAAAATTATATATCGCCATGCAAAATTCAAAGAACTTATTAGCTAATAGCGGCTAACTTTTATGGAATCCTTCATCGCACATTCTCTTAAGAGTTTTAATTGCACACTTTTTTCACCCTCGTGTCCACCCTACCCTTAATCCCATCCCTGGCTTGACAAAGCCATGCAGCATTAACCATTATTACCAGCAATTTTCATTCAGATACGGGATTGGACTGTTGATTGTCTGTTGATTATTTTGAAACGACCTTGAACAAGCAGGATCATTATATCCCCGCTCAAGGAACTTATATTAAGCTTAGATACGCTATTTTAACGATGTTTCCGGGCGCAATTAGAGAACCAACTTAAACAATATGAATAATAAATAATTGGATTTGGATTAATTACAAGTTTTATCCATGATGTTTAGTTCTCGTGCTTATAAAAAATTCTAATCCTATCAGTGTTGGTGACTATTGTAATTACAATTTCCAAGTATATAGAGTTCCTTCCTCAGAACAATTTGCCTAGCAAGCAAATATATGGCAAGAATAGACATTTATATCATCGATAAAAAAGGAAATTACAGAGCATTTTGGATGGGACCATCTCAGAGATTTTTAACCATTTAACAACCATCCATTTACGATGTATTTTTGTCAAAAAAAAATCATTTCATAGAGTGACGTCGATGTTGGAACACCAAATTTTATGAAAATTGTAAAATTGTTTTATTATATATAACACAAATTATTAGTTAAAAATATCATTAGCAGAAATATTTGCCTTTTAACTCCCGCGATCATATTTCAGCGGTAACTCTCGTGGCGAAGCAAGATGGCGTCTAGTAGAAGGTCAAAGAGAGCTAACTATTCCTCTTCAATTTCTTATAAAATGCTCCATGATCTAAGCACAATCAGTAAAGAAACAAAGCGGCTTTTTAAAAGAGACATATGGGAATATAGTTTAACTTGCATTGGGAACTTACTTGGCGCGATTTTTGTGTTCATGGAGCAGCATTGACGTATATTAACCTTAATTTGGACTTATCCAAGCAGAGCTTACGCGGTTATTAACGATTTTGACATGTTTTTCGACTTCATATCACTAAGGTTAGTAGCATTTGTAGAAAATATATAGGCCCTTTATACAAAGAATGTTCACACAAATGAAATCACCCTGGAACCTCCGGTTTAAAACCATATAAGTTTTAATATTTATCTTGCAAAATGACAGCGAAGATATTCAGGATATTGATTTGATGCGAAGCTTTGGCGTTAGCCAGTGTTAAAATGATTTTTGGAGAAAATTTTATCTCACATACATCGGGCATGCCATGTTGTCCAATATTTCTGCTAATGAAGCATATTGTACATTTGCGCAAAACGGAGAGTCACTTCATCTAAGAACAATCAAAGCGATACCAAAGCACTCCATCCGCCAATGATGTTTCTACCTTACGTAGAATTTTGCCTTTTGTGAGATGTGTTACACACGCGGCGCACTCCTGTCATTAGAAACTGTCTTACGTAACTTCAAACCTTGTTCGATAGATTTTAGTAACTGCGATCTATCCGAGCCTTCCTTCGTTTTTGTACGGGGTGTTTTGGGGGCAGGCTTGGGGCCAGCTTTGGGGGCAGGCGGGGGTGCTTTCGGGGCAGGCGGGGGGCGGGGAGGTACCGGATCAGTATTAGCCGCAAGAACCGGTTTGTTGGGAAGGGATGGTTTACTCGTATTTGAAGGTTGTATTGATTGTGGTTGAGGGATATCAAGGGGCATCGGTGAATTGGGTGGGGATGCGGAAGAAAAAGACGAGCGACGAGATGACATTTCATCTGAATGGTCAAACGCATCATGTCGCTGTTGAATGGCCTGTTTTATAGAGTCCATTAGCGCGTCCACTCCGAATAGAGGTCTGGCTGGCTCATCGCGTGGTTCATCACGTGCTTTGTCGTCTTGCTTCTCAGCAGGAATGTGCGGCGTTCGGGTTTCGATGGGCGGTGTTCGTTGGGGTGATGATGAAATATACGTAGGTGACGAAGGTACGTGCGTGGATGATGCATGTGTTTGTTTGCTTAGGATGGGATTAGAGATCGTCTCTGTTTCAGCTTCGTAAGAGACCAGGAAATTGTGATCCTCTTCACGAGACCTGAAATGCCACCATTACATGCATGTGTTTTTACAGGGTGGTTGTTTATTAGAAGATTAGGTTTTTAGAACATCACACTACTTAATATATTCCAGTCGAATTCTATTGCTAATGCTGCAACCGGATTGGCCACTCTAGTTGCTATCTTTTAGCTATTAGTATAAATTTTGTGGTGACTATTGATTTTTTTGCATTCTGATTGGTCAGGATTCATTGTCTCTGAAGTGATAGTCACTGACCGGTGACAATAGCTTTTTGCTGTTGTTTTTCAAATAACGAAGTGAAGTGAAGTAATTACAAAGTCTTATGAAATTGTGTTGATTCTTATTTGTATTACTGTAACATCTCGAAATTTATACTAAAACAATTAGTCGCCTCAAGCTCGGTGATTACATATATGTTATTGACTGAGCTTGTTCGGTCCGTACAGGAGGATACTGGTCGAGTTCTTTTTTCGCTTGTATGGACCGAGCCTTTTGGCGAGGTCCATACAAGCGAAAAAAGAACGAGCCTATATTCACTTCGCGTTCGGCTCAGTAGATCTTAGGCTTGTAATCACCTCGTCTTCGGCAACTAATTGTTAATACATAGCGGGCAAGCAAAAAATCTCTTCATCGGGAATTTAAAAAGAAATTTTCCCATGTCCAGTGTCAAGCAGATTTGAGTAGCAGCCAAAAGGAAAAATAGTAACCGAACGTGAAAACGCGGAACTCAACAGGGTAAAAACATGCATGATTATTCCGCACACAGTAATAAGTTGAACGTACCGCTTCCAAATGTCCGGGGATTCCTCTTCCTCCATTCCGACCTCACTTCTGTCTTTGCCAGATTTCCTGCGAAAAATTCCAGTGGATTTCGTAATGCAAGCAAATGGCATAAACGCCGGCCAAATTGTGTTCATGCATGGAGTTATTGCGGGGAGAAACAATAAAATTGCAATGAAACAGGCATTTGAAAACATTTACACATTGTCAACAATGGTCTTTTGCATAACTTGGAACATAGTTCAGCTGTTTGTTGAATAATGTTAATTTTACACTTGTCCTAAATATATACGATCCATATTCCATATTGTCTCTATAATCAGTGGTTCACAAAGCGCTTTGTCTGCCAGGGAAAAAGACATGGCATAGCTAAATGGTTTTTGCTTGAATTGCTAACGTTTAAAGCATGCCTTTTCTGCATGAAAATAAAGGGACCTTAATGCACAAAGAAATGAGGAGTTTCGCAGTATAATATATAACATCAATGCATGCTTTCACAAGTGTAATACCTTCGCATTTTCTTGAAATATTTTTTGAAAGGTTTGAGAACATTTCGAGTTACTTGAGGTTTGAAGAAGATCTAAAAGAAGAACGAAGAACTTAGTTTTTATAAATCCTATAATTTCAAAACTTCTAACCAGTTTTACCTCCTATTCTTTTGGTGAAAATATTTGTGGTAATATCACAAAATCGGAAATAGTCGTAAAAATAAAAATTACATAGACACTAGTTCAAACATGTAAACTATAAAGATCGGCGCTGTAGCACAAGACGTGATGCCTAAAACTTTGTTCACACCCCGCCAAATCCACTTCGAGGCTTTGTAGGCTATCTTACCGAATCTGGGTCGATTGGATCCAAACCATCTGCTCCTTGAAAGAATCTGTGGTGTAGTATCTAGAAATATAATGGTATAAGCGGTTATGTACCTTAAATAGTTACTCATGCAGCTGACGTGAGGGCTTTAGCGCTCATTGTTATATAGGTGCTGTGTATTTTAAATGTGATCGGTTCATTCGTAGTCACATGACTTTAAATAAATGCAATGTTTCCCGCCCGGAAAACAAGTGAAAAGTTGTTGCCCGCTTCTTGTCATAAGAAAGTAAAGTGCTTTTTTTAATGAAATTGTTGTGTTAACGTGTATGTTTTTGTTCCTATATAACAAAGCACTTCACTACAAAACACAAAAACACTACCTCGGGAAACAGTGAGTTTTGTTTTCCCTCGAGTCTCAATGTTTCCCTCGACATTCATGCAGACTCTTGGGAAAACAAAACTCGCTATTCCCCTCGGGGAGCATACATTAAGTGTATAATGTTTTGATAATTTTTCTATTGTTTATACGTGAGACGCTTACATCTTTGACATCGGGATAAGATGAGTCATCTGTTCCAAATATATACTTTAAAATCTGAAATCAATAATAATTTATGTAATGAACTACGAAAAATTTTACTCAACCAACCAATGGTAATATTCTACCCAACCAACCAGCCGGAATATCACACAGTATTGCTCATGCAAACATACCTCGCCAACTTCAACGCTTCTTGAGCAAAACTCATAGTGAAGTTTACCAGGTTTTGCATCAAATAATTCTTGACCATACGCCATTTCATACAGCAAATGACCTAAACGTAGAAAATCGTGTCATAGTATCAATTATAGAGGTCAACGGCCAAGCAGAGCGAGCGCGCGTAAAAAATGCAAAGAAATAGACCTGATGCATATAATAACGTATCAAGCTGTGACGCCTGCAGGGAATTCTGGTTTTAATAGTCACAGCGAAAAATTCAAACTTCAAAATTTCCCGCCGTGACTACTAAGACCAGAATTCCCTGCAGGTGTCACGGCTTGTTACGTCATTATGTATAAGGTCTATATTGTCATTCCAATATTGATCAAAATTTCACATTCGTTCACGTCAAGAATACGAATATTTTGGAATCGATTGTTGGATTTCAGTTTTCTAAAAGGAGTACAAACATTTTACGCATTTTTTGTATTGCACAAGGGAGAAACACCTAATTTCGTAACACAGATGGATGTTTTGATACGAATCTTTTCAAACAAGACATTAATGTCATACCAAAGCAGAGTGAATCAATGGCATATTTATTCTTCTTTAAAGCTCTTGATAACCTCGGATATAATCGTGACTTGAATCCCAGAATGGCTTGTTCATAACCCGAGATCCTAAGAAAATTAGATGTTAATCAATCAAGTTTTCCTCCGTTAGAATCTTGAGCGTGCCGCCTTACCAGAAAAAGTGTGTAGATCAAATAAGGACGGCTATACAGACAGGGTCAAAGCAATTTGCCACTTTTTTCTCTTTTGCGACATTTGCTTGGTATTATACGGGGAAGACAAACTATACGGTGAGATCCAAGGACAAAATGCTAGTGGAAAGACGCTATAAATTCATACTTACCTACAAACGCCTTTCTTCACGAAGATGTTTCCACTGTGTACATGGCCGTTTGTTGGAATCCCTTTACTATGTAAAAACAACATAGCCTGCAAAGAAGAGAAAAGACGATATCAAAACGTAGTTCAAACCGTTGATAGGAGCACTAGTCCACTGTGGTCAAATTTTAGCCTTTGCGTTTGCCCTCCTATATTTCAGCAGGTTAATTTTATGGGATTAACAGTGCAAGGCATGTAGGAGCATGTGAAAAATATTAATCCCATATTCAAACACCTGAACACACTAACGCCTGTATTCAAAAAGCTCACTCACATTCATACTCATCGAGTGTGACATATAAATTTCGTTAATGCTGATCAATGAGAAAGTTTTTTCTGAACAGATGGAAAGATATAAGGTAAATCACTGAAAATCAAGCCCCTGTTCGGCTGAAAATACCGCCATTGAAACGCTATGAGAAGATTAAGATCTCCCACTCAAAGAGTTTGAGTGTGAGTGAGCTTTAAGAATACAGGCGTAAGAAGCAATCCGTGGGTTCTGTGTCACAATCACATCGCACTAATTAAATGCTGTAAAAAAATGCTGTAGGAAAAACACAGGGTGGTGAAAGAAGGCGGCGGGGGGTTAGGATGAGAGCGAAGCAAAGAGGTGTTGATCACCTGAGAAAATAAATGGTAATTTTTATGTTATATATTTATTTATGGGGTTGCCCGATGTCTATGTGCCTCCATAGGAAGATACGGATGCGTATATACTGTTCAGGATCCCGACGAAACTTAATTTCAACAGTAATTTTTAAGTCATTGTTTCGGAATATCAGGTGCTATTATCTGCTTGGGACCGAAAGAAATATCTGCATTTGATTATATCTAAAGAAAATATAGCTACGTGCAATCATATAGCTAAGTGTAGGTCCAACGTATAACGCATTTTACAATGATATCAGTACAACTTTTTCACATGCAATCTCGAATCCCAAAGACCTATCGAAAATATTCTGAGAAGAACCTTGGCCAGTTCCAGACTATAACCAAAAATGAAATTATTCTCAATAATATATCACTTACTTTTAATATTTGCCTGCCATACGTTTTGATTTCGAGAACATTCAGCGCCTTGCCTTGAACTCGGTATTTACCTGCCCAAACATCGCGTGGTCTTTTCTACAAAATATAGATGAAAGGCGTTTTAAAATCAAAATACTGACTTGTCTACAGTACAAGACCGGGTCTTTGGTATAGAAAGTTTGACAATTCAACGAACTCGTTATGTTTGAAAACTCGCCCATTTTTTTTTTAATTTTTAAAAATCACTTTTATTCGCCGTCTCATGGTTACCTATACTTATTACGACACATGTTTCCGTGGGTACAGTGATAACAATTTTACGAATAAAGAGATGCTGGAGTATTTGGTTGCGGGACTTTTAGTAAAAACTTAGTTTAATTACAAATGCTGCATTCTGATTGGCTGTAGAGAGTTTCTTATGCATAGTCTTCACAAAAACAATTACTTCACTTGCTCTCGTTTTCTATGAGGATTATGAGGACTTCGGTTTCGTCAGCTATCGTTTCATAGAAACTCTTATAATTCTAGAATTAATATGACGCTTAAAAACGTTTTCAGAATCTAATATACAGTGTTGAGCATATCTTTACTCGGGTTGGGTTAAAATGCGGATACGGATGTGGAATGGATAAAGGAACGGAACGGATACGGGGTTAAAATGCGGAACGGATATATATGGGGATAAAATGCGGAACGGATATAGGGAAACAGGATAGAGATAAGTAAATTAGCTTGTAGGTACACCACGTAAGTAATTCTGCAAAGCACTAAATATTAAATACGCGGTGTACCTACAAGCTAAATTACTCATTGATGTCACCATGCAAACGAGAACTAGAATATTATTAGAATAGAGACAAATTACTGGGGCCGGTAGTATAAAACGTGGTTAACTTTTAACTATAGTTAATGACAGAATTGACCAATCAGAGTTATGTATTTCTGAATTAACTACGATTTAACTACGCAAAATGTAGTTAAGAGTTTTATACAACCGGCCCCTGTTTAGAAGATCTATGGAACATTCATTTTTAAACACAGTCTTTACCTTATGAATCAAATCTTTCAACGTCCCTTTTTTGCTAAACGGTTCCACAACAAAAACAAAGGGTTTTTGAGACAACACGCCAATATCTGTCACAGGATATATGTATGGATGCTATAACGGTGAAACAAAGAAAGGATTAAAATTTGTTATCAGCCTTCGGTGCTTGTGTTTCTAATGAAACCTTTTGCCATCGAAAAGTCGTTGATACAACATTTTCAACTTGCTGAAAGTCTGCCTTCATCAAGGTGTACTGCCATAAAGTTCTGCATAATATATTAGTTTACACCTGCAGGTGACGAGACAAAATTAGGAAGAAGGGGAGTCCTTACAGATTTGCAGATCCGCAAAAGAAAGTAGCTATTTTCAATATTTTTATCTAAGAATATACGATACGACTAAATGGTTAATGTATATGATGTTGCCGATTAAAATAGCGATTTGGATGAAATGAAAATATTTCGTGTTGCACTTGTAACCATATATTGTGCTGCAACAACTTTCAGTTGGTTAAATAATGTTAAAGTGCTTATCGTTATACGTAGCTGTAACTATACCAAATCTCCTGCATTCAAAATTGCCTGTCATACTCCTTGATCAATAAAAATTAAGAGTTTCGTAATTCACACGTACCCTGGCAAGCGGTTCAAACAGATCTCTGAGTAACTGGATAGTCGTATTTGTAAGAGTGAGACAACAGTCACTACTTTTCTTAGTTAAAACAAGCAGCATTTTTTCTCCTTTCTTTTCTTTCACAATAAACCAACTTCTTCCAAGGCGACAGCCTAAAGAAGCCACAAAACGATTGCGATTACCTGATTTTCTCTACTGTATCATAGAGGCCTGTTTTCACTTAAAACTATCCTATGCTAAGCGGGAACCGTCAATAACACTGCAGAAATATATGCATCTAAACATACTGGGGTCTAGCACCTCGAATGTTCTAAGAACTTACCAATATCATCTAGTTGATCCACAAAAGAATATTTTCCTGACAAGTTCAGAAAGAACTGGCAGAGAGCCTCTAAAAATAACACAAAAAAATTGCGTTCTTAAACTGGTGCGAATCTGTCGGGCTGAACTGAATATAGGAATCCCACCCCCCCCCCCGCCCCAATTATCGTTCTAGTTACGCCCCTGCCAGTAAAAGGTGGTTAACGACTTCATCGCGACAACTTACGGGCTTTCACATTCATAAGCTTATTATTGATTTGCCTAACTTCAAATGTTTCTGCCGCACCCCCCTCCCCCCCGCCCCCCAACAATATGACAACAGCACGATAACTTACAAGTACTGAAGTACAAACTAAACCGCGAATAATTACTGTATACACCACGAACCTTTTAAAGCAAGTCTTTGAAATTGTCTATCCCTTGTTAACTTCTCAGATACGTTTTCTTCATCTGGGATGGAAGCATATCCTCGCTTACGACGGCAGCTAAGGTAATTCAAAACACGTTAGACACGAGATGATAATATTGTTCTATATTCCGCAAAACGTGTTTTGACGCATTTTTATAATGACTTAAGAGTGCAGTTGAACCGTTGAACTTTTTTATTTGCACGTCATTGTAAAATTGCGCGTCATTGTGAAGTATACACTTGCTTGGGAGTATATTCGCTGTAAATATCAACATTAGCAACAATATTTGCTGCTATAGGAAGACGTTCGAGCAATTTTTGTTCAGAAGGTTAAAAATGACGACTTCAAAATTCCGTTCTCTTGCCCTGACTCTTATGCAAATTAATGATAAATACTGATGAGAATTTCTCCGTATTCTGTTTCAAAGTCCAAGGAGGCTCTATTCCTTTTAATCTATCCTAAAACACATCAATTCATTTTGTGTGTCGTAACGTCCCGCGGTCTCTATAGGCATAGTATATATAGTTTATAATCATACTTTCCATCATAATACTGGTCTGTACATCTTAAATTTACATGGCCTCTTAAGCCCCGTTAACACTACACTCGATTTATTGACACAGCACGGCTAAAATTCACCCATAACGAAACATTTACTGTGAGTGAATTTTAACCCAAATTGTTTGAATGGCTCTTATAAGAGCCATACCTTGCGCCGTAATATTAGTTCTGTGTTTTACAAGTTTCTGGTAGCTATGCTATGTAATTACAATTGGATGGATGTTTTAAAATTTTCCAGCGTAAGGCTTTAGATATAATTCCAGTTGCAATTTCCAAAACCTAATCGAGATCAGTTGCATTAGTAATTTGCTATCTTTCGCGAGCAACGTGCAGTTTGGCATGGCTGACAAACAGCTAAAAATATGTGATAAAACACTTGGCAAAAAGCCATTGGTTTCAACAATCCAAGCTTTTATCGCTCAACAAAACAGAAGGTAAGCTGATTAAAATAATCTCTTTTTCATCGTTTTGCAATGTTTTAAAAAATTATTTAAAACAGACATCAATAATTTCTGTTCATTACAACGTATACACAAACCAATATTTTCATCTTTTTTCAGGGAAAATTGCTTAAGTTTGCTTAGAAAATTCGTTATATTTGAGTTTAATTGATTGAGGCTGCCTATGGTTAAATATAGATCAAAATCAATATATAATATGAATCATACAATACCTCCATGTGCACATTGCTAGAATTACTACAGAAACAATCACCGCACTCACTTGAACAATTATCTCCAACTATAAGAAAAATAATATTGTAACATTAAGAGTAAAGCCAGGAGTGTTTAGGAGGAGGGCTTATTCAACCTCTCATGATTCATTAAGATTGATTGTTTCATGTCATTGTTTAAAACTGTTGAAACATCAAATACCAGATATGGAATGACTTATAACAATCTATTTGCAATAAGAATGAGGGATTTCATTTTAGAAAAATCAGCAAATTTGTTTACAATTTTAGTAATCTAATCAGAATGCAAAATTATTGACTACTTTTGTAAAATGGTACATTATTTACCATTTCAAAAATTCACAATATACTATTTTAGGCATATTATAACTGATTATTGGCATATTATATCTGATTATTGACCAAGCATGAGGTCTGTGCTGTGAAATATCAGACCAAGGCAGATATGGGTTTTACAGACCACTCATCAACCAATCAGAATAGAGGATTCTGCAAAGTCATATTTAATGTGTGTTATTTTAGGCCGATTAGTTCATTTTAACAATCAAAATGCACAGTCAGTCTGAGTCAATCATAAATGCATACACTTTTGGCTAAAATGTTCTGCGTATGAGTAGTTTACTGTATATACCCAATTATATATGGTTGTAAATCATTGATCATGCAAGTATCTCTAACCAAGATACTGCTAGTATTGGATCTGACACTTTTGCGTGCCATTTCTAGTGTTGAGAGACTGACCAGTGAAATGGGTACCAGTAGTTCTGATTAATGAAACCTAAGCTAACATTGGGAATTCAGAAATAAAATAAAGCACAATATGCACAAAGTACATATCGTACTTAAGTACTTTGAACTTGCAGCAAGCTTGCAAGTTCATAATGAATTTGTGAACTTTATAATCAAATTTGTGATGATTGACAAATATTGCGTGAAATTAACTGTAAGCCTGCCTTACCCAGTCAAAGAAAGAGCTGGAAATGTGGGGACAAAAGCTTGTTATTACCTTGTCTTGTGTCAATTCAACTTCTCTCAGAGAATACTAATTACAGTATCACTTAAGGTATAATTATATATAACTGGAAACATTTTTGTTTGGCGAAACCACAAAACACAGACCTTGTTTCTACTTTCTTGCCAGGTAGGAATATGTTTCTGTATTTTACCCCATTGGCAGACATGCTGGGTTCTGAATGCAAACTACTGTATATTTGTAACTATTCCCCTAATGTGGCATAACTCAAACTGTTGCCTTTAACAATTCCACAAATTTCAACCTGTGTTTGTTGTCCTGCAATAAGGTTTGTTGAAATAAAAAACACTCCATAGGGGGGAGGGGGTGTTGAAGGCATGAAATGACTTGTGCATAATAATAACAAAACAAATCCTATATACCATAATATAGTTTACTTATGTATGTGATTCTGTCAACTTAAGATACTATAAACCATAGTATCACAACAAATTCTTGAGAATTGCTTGTGTATTTTCATTCAAACCGTATAACGATAAACTCAGCGAAGTTTTAAAACCCCGCCACAAACGGCAGACAAATCACATGAGCGAATCTGTTCACCTTGAGCTTTGAGTATAAAATGTCACGCACGGTGCAGTTACGTGTATAAAACATCTTTAGCAAATACTGAGGATTAGATATATCCCTTACCATTATATATCCAGCGCGCTTCTCACGGCATTTCTTTTAGAGGTTAACACAAAAATGATATATACATATATATACAATTCGTTCGTGTATATATGTATAAACGAGTTCGTCTGCACGCTTCAATGTACATACTAGATCAACTAGATCAAAGAGCAAATCCTTGCTTCGGAACGGATTTAATCCTTAATCTAATCCTTCGGGGTTTAGGATCAAAGTTAAGATTACATTCTTGGATTCTGGACGTAGAATTACATCGCTGAAAACACAGGTTGTTCCCACTGAGCTATAATAGTTGTTCCCGATTGATGAAACAGCTTGCAGTGTTTAAATCTTCAAACGAATTAAAACATAGGCCATAGCTATAACTTTGTGACAAAAGAAGTAAGGAAATCTTTGAGCTTTTAGGATAGGAGCCAATTGACACCATTCTAAAGCAGGGTGATATAATAGTTTATTATATACACAAGCGTCAGATATGAGGTATGCTGCAATTTCATTGGTTGGCTACTAGACAGATATTAGCTCATATCTCTCTAGTAGAGAAAGTAAACATGCAAAATGGCTGAAAGATTTGGGGAGTTGAGTGAAATAGAAATCCAAGCTTTAGTTGATAATAGCACACCAAAATGCACCGAAAAGGCGACAAAGTTTGTGTATATAATAAAACAGTTATTCTGCTCACTCTCGTCGTATATGGCCGATACTCGTCGGCTATCAGCTCATATACGACTTGAGTTCGCAAAATAACTGTTAAATATCACCAATATGTTTAAAATTCAACGAAATTATATCTATGAAACACGACCACAATGAAAAAATCTTTCTCTTATAGAGGAGCTACGGCATAGAATTAACTCTCATGTTTTTAAAAAACTATTTCAAACTATTTCAATCTTACACAGAGAGTTAGTTGACCACATAAAGCAATTAATGTATATATTTTTTACTTATTAAAAATATAATATTTTTGTAATTAAATAATTATTAATTAAAATTTTAGGTTTCACAATTTATTTGTGACTTCCTCTTTGCTGAATGGTTACCGAATATAAATATTTTTACTGAAAGATTAAAGAAAAAAGAAACCTGACAAGATACTCAAAACTTGATAATCTTGTTCCTAGCGTGTGCAACCCTACATTGTTTAGGCCTACATGTTTTTTGTGGCGTACATGTACATGCAGTTATCCTGACATAGACCGCACAAATTAGTGTTCTTTATTCTAAAATCGCGTTTTAGTACACGTGGCGTTCGTGCATGTTACACGAATGACGAATCTACTTTGTAGAAACACATAGCGCAATTCAAAGTTATTCATATTCTAGATCATGCACTTTGGACATTCAATGGTAATTGTAACATTTAATAGTAATTTAAACCTGTAAAGACTGGTAATCAAATTTTGGATACAGTTCAGAACTAAGCAGTAAACGAGGAACGATTCAAAATCTGTAAGGCCAACCTTAGTATGCAGGCCTCTATTTAGTTTATTCAGTATATATATATATATATATATATATATATATATATATATATATATATATATATATATATATATATATATATGACATATATATATGACATATATATATGACATATATATATATATATATATATATATATATATATATATATATATATATATATATATATATATATATATATATATATATGATATTTGCTGTTAAGGCCATGTTATGGCGGTTTTCCACTTGGCGGAATTTTTTGATCGAACGAAATTTTTCGTCTGATATTCTTTAGAATTGTGAGAATTTGAGCGTAGCAGATTCCCTTCACTTGTCACAATTGAAAAGACGATCGAGCGAAAAATTTCGTTCGATCGAAAAATTCCGCCAAGTGGAAAACCGGCTTTACACAGTGCAATAGACCTTTTCGGTAATTACGTCACAAAATTATCGTTTTAGATTTAGAACCACCTTAAATGAGATGGATCTTAAGTTTTACTCTCACAAGCATATATGCAAAGATGCAAAACATCCTTCTATACAACCCGTGCATGAGAAATAGTTTTTTATTTTGACTAATAAGTATGGAAATAAGCTATGACCGGTCTTAGCCCCTCAGCCTCGTTCTCGTGTTATGGCTTATTTCCAAAGTTATTGGTCAAAACAAAAAATTTTTTCATGCATGTGTTAAAAAATGATGTTTTGAATCTTTGCACGTGGCTCGTGAGTGTAAAACTTGAAATCCATTTTATTTAAGGTGGTTCTAAATTTAAAACTTTGTGATGTTAAATTGTGGTGACGTAATTACCGAAAAGGTCTATTTTTCTTGCAACTTGTACTTCGATTCTACTTTTAACAGATGTAAATTAGTGAAGAGTCTTCAAAATTGAAGTATACTGAGAAACGCCTTATGCATGGAGTGTAATAAAGACAAAAGTTTGCCAAATTTGCATCTCTCAAAAGAAGATTGCATTGCAAGTTGCAAGGAAAATTGCACCGTGTAACAGGGCCTTTAGGATGCAGTTTATTTGTTGCAATATACTGAATAAGCTTGGCATGTCATTTTTCAAAGACATGCTCGATTATGAAGAGCTATTACATCATACATCGCTTTAACAATAAAAATGGATTTTTATTACTGAATTGCTGATTGAATATTTGAGAGATTACATTCGAAGCCGAATAACCGGCATTATTATATACAACTTGTCAAAGTTTGGTGTTCGTAGCGTCTCATTGGTCAAGAGCGAATCGCTTGAGAGTGACGAAATTTTGATGTCGCCTGCAACCCCCTGCACAGGGAGTCAAATTTTCCATGGAAAAGAACAATTTAATCACGTTCACCTGGCCATGCAACCTTTGGACTGTTTAGTTGAAATTGACCACTTGAAATTCCGTCTTTTATGATTGATGAATAGATATTTCGTTGTTTACCTTGGTTTGTTCGGTTTTTCTTTGTGGTACACACTGAAAAAACAAGTGATATATTATCATACCAAAAAAAATATTTACCGAGACCTCAGTCAGAAAACATTATACACCTAATGTATGCTCCCGAGGGAAATATAGTGAGTTTTGTTTTCAGAAATAGTGAGTCTGAAACATTGTGACTCGAAGAAAAACAAAACTCACTATTTCCCGAGGTAGTGTATATTTGCTTTGTTATACAGGAACAAAAACATACATCGGTTCCACACAGTAGCGTAGCCAGCCTGTCGATTTGTCCCGCTATGCTAATATTTTTGTGTTCACTGACTGTGAAAACAATAGATTTCTAAAGACATGAATAATCAGTATAATAACTCGAAATTTACATGGCGGGACAAAATCGTCAGGCTTGCTACGCCAGTGGTTACCCAACAATTTATTTAAAAAAAAAACACTTTACTTTGTTATGACATATGCGGGCAACAATTTTTCACGTGTTCCTGGCGAGAAACATTGCATCTATTTAAAGTCATGTGACTACAAATGAACCCATCACATTTAAAATACACAGCACCTTTATAACATCGTGCCTTTTGCCTTTTTTCGTATCAAATAAACTTAAAATATGTTTGTTCTACCGACTTATTTGAGCTGCTTCATAACATAAGCTTTAGTCTAGCTGGTTAGCTCAAGGAATTATTTGCTTTGTGTGAAATGGCGAGGGTTGCTGAATGCATGCGTGCACTACACTAACAATAGTAGACTAAGTAGACTCGTGTAAGACGCGCGAGCGTCACGAGAATGAAACGTGGAAATTGCACCGTATAAAGCCGCTTTTCCACTAGCGATATTTTTCGCGCGAAGCGACATTTTACTTTTGTTTCAGAGCTCCCAACTGCAACCATCTGGAACAAATTGCTCAAATAACAAAGGAATCAAGTCGCTTCGCGCGAAAAATATCGCTAGTGGAAAACCGGCTTAACAGGGCCTTTACGGCCTCTTTCATTTAACATATTTGCCTGCAGGAATGTCACACGAAAATAAAGATTTTTTACGGGCATTTTTTTGTCTAGTTTATGTTTTAGTTGTTTTTTTCTTCTCATTGGGGGCTGCATGATTTAAGAATTTTCCAAATTCCGCATGTATTGAATTTCTTTAATCTGTTATTCATTTAGGAATATAGTGAACTGGTTAAATGGTTATAAATATTCCCACAGGACAGGATATTTCTAGAAATTTAACGATTCAATATGCAAGCATATACCGACTGGAACCCACCTTTAACCTTTGCTTGAAAAACAAAGAAATTATAGATTTGGGGCTAACAGAAAGAGAACCTCCAATTTAAGAATACTATATTCAAAGTACCCCAAAAATGTCATCATGAGAAAGGCTAATTCTGCAATCTGTGTGCTAATTCCAACAGACATGCGCGTCTGTCAATGCCAGTCTCGGTGTGATTATATTATGCTTTGTTGACGTATATTGCTCTTAGCGTTTAACACCGCTGGAAGGCCTGGTGTAATTGTTTAATTTGGCTGAATTACGAATCGGTCGATTGATGTCTTTCTACATTTTGTCATTCTTGTTTTTGTGTGTAATTTATTGATGAAAGCAGAATGTATGGTATAAGTTTCGTCTAACTATATTAATTTTATACACTCGCGGGTAATTCGTCAATGGCGACTAATTTCCACGGGGGACGTTTTAAGTGATATTACAGTATATTCAATTCAATTCGATTCAAGATTGGCAATAACTAAAAGCATATAAACTCTCCAGTTATTTTATAGTTTCGTCAGCCAGATTTCTACCATTTTTAGGAATTCAAAATAATCGTTCAAATTGGTATCTCGCGACCATGCAACATGTCATCTGAGATGATTGTTTATTTACGATTGTTTATTTACTACTGAAATAATCTTCTCGCAGAAGATAGATAAGGTATTTAGATAAACTGACTTTATTTAACCACGCTAACCTCATCACCCGTGGTAATTTTCATGAGGGACGTCACACAATTACAGATATAATTAATTAAATAACTACCAATAGTATATTAATAAAAGTATTTAATTAGACCCATGCAACAATTAAAAAGAAGTTAGAAAATAAGACTAATTGATGTCTAACACAGAATTGTCATGATTTTATCAATTTTTTAGAACTGCTTATAAAGATTTTGTTTGCTTAGCTCGCATTCAGCAAACTATTCCATGGCACAGCCTTACTCTACCCAAAGCTCTTCTTTAACGGACTTTCAGTATTTGGTTTGGGAAGTGAAAGGTTGATTTCAGCATTTCTAAGATCATACTGAATTATTCAGATTTAAATTTACTCTTGTCATGAATTTATTTTTTAAATTAGGGACCGCGTATATTAAATCATAATTATCCCTAATATTCTCAGACAGGCCCAACAAGGCTGGGCGTCAGTCAATGAAATACTGCGAGTATAGTAACCTAGGTAGTTTTGCCCGCTGCGGAACGGTAAGGATGGTGACGGCAACACGGCGAAGCGAACGAGGTTGGCGAAGCGAACGAGGTTGGCGAAGCGAACCAGCTCGGCGAAGGGAACGAGGTTGGCAATGCGAACGTGCTAAGGTCCATTAAATATTTCTTACTGTCATTTTCAATCATGCGTACCTCCACCAAGATATGAAACCTAAACGGTACCCTCTCCATCCAATGATCACACAGTCTCACGTACGGAATCACAGAAGTGAAAGCCGCCGTGGAAGAAAAACGAAGTGTGCATCAAATAAATACATGAAATATACCTACATAAATGCTTGGATGTATACATTGGCTATAGTCGAGGAATGGCAAAAGCATACATTTTAAGTGATAACTAATGTATTAAATTACCAATAACATTATAACAAGTCCATATCGGCGCGGTAAACTGCTATTCAGATACCGCAGCAAATTCACCAACCCTGCACAAATGCGCGCGAGCAAACCAGTCATGCCAGAAACTTAAAATTGATTAGAATTAAGCAACGCGAGACGCGAGTTCAACTGTTAAATCATAACTTGATTAATTAATCATGACGGACGAACTGCGATACTTATATCCCTATAAGTTTATATTATATAATTGTAAATAGTTTCTTTTCTCTCAGTCACGCCAATAGTCCTATAGTTCTAGTCGGAATTATTTGACAAAGTGGTTATTTCAACTTATAAATGATACCGGCTTCATGTGCCACGTTTTCGTCGGTAAAACCTGGGGGTAGCACCCCCACCCGTTCCCAGTAAAGATAGGCATGCGGCGCTTCTGAACGTTGCGTAGTCAATTTCGCTATTATACATTCAGTTATTATGTCGTAGTCAAGGACGCTGGTGTAAAGTATACCCTTAGGACTATATGCAAATTTTGTTTGTCCAAATATTGTTTCTCTCAGGTTAAGCACTTTGAATACAAAGCTCAAGGCTGCGTTCACACGGTACCGCAGATCCGCTCCTCACGACATCTTCGTTTTCCTTTATGTAGCATAACGATTATTAATAATGTTTATTAATTTGAAAGATTTGATACATTTATTCCGGTCTCGGACATTAAAGATCTTACTGCCAATGCTTACTGATTTACTTCAAAATTTGACCTGTTCCAATAGCAATCCGGTACATTGTGAACGGAACCTCAATCGTAATCCGTACCCGTTGTTCGTTGTGTCATCTTTAACTCCCTTTTACTATTAGATCAATTTAGACGGAGACAAACTGAGCATCAGCCATCAGTGGTAAAATGCCCTGCACCGCGCCACGGCCACTTCTTGGCTTTTCTACAACACCTGCCTGTCACTATACGCCTCAAGGGGTCTGGATAATTCCTTTCTATCCATCATCAACTGTGATGTTTGGTGCGAGCACAGAAGCGAAAGACGTCATGCTCCAAATACTCGCAGTTGGATTTTACATATAGCTTTACATAAATTTAACGACAATTTTCTCTTTGTTTGTACGACCGGAAATTTGTGGTTTTGCATGTGTTGTTTACTGCATGCAGTTCCATGCATTGCCCGACAATATATGATGTGATACATCGAGAATTCTTTTCACATTTTCTATTGCTACAACTGACATATAGAAAGAGTGACGTGACTGTAATCGTAATCAACAAGCTATACCTTTTGCTAGCAGTATATATGGACAAAATGTGCAAGTGTCACCGAATCACAGCGTTTCTTTCAAAACACTTTCTTCCAGTCGGAACATTATTTATCATTCCTCTTGGAATTTGCTTTCCAATTCCCGCGTATACCTCAACAGCAAACTTCCCGTGGTACAGATGTGTATTGTCACATTGTTTTTCGTCATCGGAGCGAAATTTCGTTTAACAGAGATTCGATCTGCGCTCCGTTGTTTTAAGGAGACGCTTTTAGGGATAATCGTTGTTCTGTTTGTCACTCCGGTTGTTGGAACCAAGTTATTGACGTTGCCTAGTTTCCGAGATTTCGCCCAGTCTGGTTTGAAAGCAAATGAGACATTGAACAACAGCTGGTCAATACAATTACCAGATCTTGGTCCGGAGGAATTTCGAATTGGTCTACAGATATTTTGTGTCTCTCCATGCGCATCTGCTTTTCCAACGGTTGTGGTAAGTCGTAATGTTTTTTTGTATTGCAACGTATTGTTGTCCGGCGTCTCAAAAATTTGAAGTGAAATGTGAAAAAATAAGTAACTGTTTATAAGACTAATCCTATCAGTTTTGAAACTAATCTGCTACAATAACAAGTCATTGTAATTATAATTACTTGTAATTCCTCCCAAGACTGCCAAGTGCATGTAGCCGGTGACTTTAATTTGGAGATAAAATGTAAATAACAACCCAGCATATACTGGCTGTTAGGTATTGTACGATAAACGATTTCCTACTAAACTAAAGATGCCGAAATTTCGCGATGTAACTATTCACTTTCAATGGTTTAATTTGCAGTCTTTGTCCAATACCGGTTTTGACCAAAATTTAGCAACTACGACAAAGGTGTTACATTTTATTATAACATAGTCACATATAACAGAGATAGTTTAGCGTTGCCCGGGTTAATATATACGCGATTAAAACTAGGCAGGACTGAAGATTAACGCGATAATTGGAGGTGAATATTGATATATTTTGTTCTGCCCGACGAATTTCATTTGAAAACGTTTCGTTTGAAAAGAAAACCATAAGATAGAACGAATAAATTTGCACCGCACCAATCATCGCGTCTGGTTTCGGTCGAATAGTTTATTTGTCCGGCGGCAGTAAACGAGGCTTCGATAATCCCCACACGCAAACATCAGGTATAATGTCTTTTAATGGTGGGTAGGCTATATAGATTTAATTTTGCATTCGCTATTCAGGTTGTATAAAAAAAAGGTAATCCAACTTCAACACGCTGTTGTATGTGAACTACTCAGTCTGTAAACGAAAGTTTTTCACATTCGGAAAGATCAGGCTTTGAACTATCGGATGACATGCTTTTAATTCCAAATGGTGAAAAAATGAGAGGCTGATAAAAAATGTTTGTCACAATCGCATATTTTCACCTTTGAGCCTAATTAAAGCAGTGCATAACAAAAAAAGAAACAATTAATCACGAACATGTCAAGCTTGCATTGGATTTACAACATGTTTATTGCAATTATTAACATTTATACTTTTTAAAAAGAGACTATGCGCCGATGCCTTCAACTTGACCACCATCTCTATCGATACAAGTTTGACATCTTGTCCGCATTGCTTGGAATGTTCTCCTGATGTGATTTATTCCTAGTTAATATGCATATGCGGGTAGTTTATTTAGAAGCAAAATTCTTCAATTAAGTCCCAAAGGGAGTTAATTTTAAATGGTTTTAGTCCTAACTCTCGGAGGTAAAAATATGCGATTTTGAATAATACTTTTTATCAGCCACCTATTTGCTCATTTTCCCACCATTCAGTATTAAAAACATGTCATTCGATAGTTAACTATCCTTTCCGAATGTGAAAGAATTTCGTTAATAGAATGAGCAGATCACGCCATAGTTGGATTACCTTTTTTTTGATACACCCTTTATATAAAGGACCGCGATATATATAGCTATACTCGGTAGTTGTTCAAAGCTAGGTTGACACTAACCCTGGGTTACTGTTTAATCCACTGTTTTAGTTTATGTGGTTCTGAACTACTGTTCGTTTTAAAACTCAGTTAAAAAATATGACTTCTATCGGTCCCGAAAATAATTATATGAAATAAGATATTCAACTTTGTAAACCAGCGATTACGAAAATTATTAAAACCGGGCGCTGATAGACAAAACAACTAATTTAAAATTAGTTGTCTCAGATTCATCTGTCCATGATCAATTTTATTCGGCAAAAACGAATTTAAAGCGACTTGTTAGTCCTTCCAACAAATAAAAAAATTGGTCTGAGAAATGAATTTGATGTAATCAATGTTAAGTTGACCGTGGTTACTTTTCCAGTGCATGAGTTTTCCAGGGTATTTTTCGATATTGTATTGACAAAGATATGTTTATTGATATTGATAACTGCGATTTTTGCTGGAATAAACTTAGCTAACCCTGAGCAGCAAGTTCAACTTTCATTGTCGTTTTCGAAAAATGTATACTGTATAATATTTCGCGGACTGCTGTTGGAAATTTTGCGGATATAGGATAATTATCATAATGCATGCAAACGTCATTGGTATAAATTACTACTGAGGATCAATAATAAGTAAGAAACTTGGATATTTAAGGACAGATTGGAAATGACGCTCGACTTAGAGTATGAAATAGCGATTGTGATAGTGAATGTGAGTTAGCGTTTTTACCTTACTCACGGCATTCCCAACAATGCAACCAGATTTTAAACTCTTCTAAAAACGTGCATGCATGGGGAGGATATATAGCTATAGGGACACTTTTCTAATTAAAAAGACCAGTTAAATATTGTCATATAGATTCGAGAATTGTAGAAATAGCCCAGTAAATATATATTTCGTGCGGGTTTATTTAAATAGGGAAGATAAGGTACAATAGCAAATAGTTTTAAACATGCAGCCAACTAGACGCGCGGAGATAAAAAAGTACATGCAATTCAGTTTTTATTTAAAACTAAAAGAAAAACTGTATAAGTTATATGCAATAGCTATATAAATAATGAAATATACTGGATGCATGTATACGTAATAAAAAGAAAACATGAGATATGATTGAAGGTAATGACTGAAGAATATTAAATCAAAACATATGCAAAACAAGGGTTCAGTTACAATTGACAACAGAGTGCACTAGACAGAGTGTGGTTGTGATAACAAGTTAAAAATAGTATGCCATTTACGATCTACAAAAGGCCGGATCCGTCTCAATGACCTGACTCACCAATGCCAGAGGCAATATTCACGAGATGACGTCAAAGTCGAAATGACGATGAGCAGATGCTCCTTGTATATGTTGGAGCACAAATGTTTGTAAAATTTACCAGCTCCGGCAGCTCGATATAGACTATCTTACGAGTTCTGAAATATGGTATATAAAGTTTGCCCTGATGCATGTTATTACCATTTGCGTTCAATTGGTCAGTGTCCCGAATTTTTCGCGTTTGTTCATATTTGAACCAGCAGGTTTGAATTGGTAATCGGTTATATTGTTTGACAAAGAAATAACACAAGTTTGCTTGAAAATTCTAAAATACTGGCCGACTATCCCCGATTTGCAATTCTTTCAGATAATATCCCCAGTAAACAGTAATAGATACGAGGTAAAACATGCAAACATGTTAATCACGTGAATAAAACATGTGGAATTTTCCCACAAACGTATTGTAAACAACATAACCTTTTATCAATTTGAACCTGCATGAACGTTTCATTTGACAAACGTAACGTTTGAAACGTGAACAAACGCGAAAAATTCGGACGCTGTCCAGTTGAACCCGAATGGTATAGTATTGCAATAATTATAGCTATATACTCAATCTATCGATGCTCCGTCGTAAGTGGTGTTTTCGCGAGATATATGGATAGTGCACGTCACCAGGCCACTACGTCAAATTAGTATCATGCATCATAGACAATCCAAAAGACATTCGCCTGTATTCTAAAAGCTCACTCACACTCAAACTCATTGAGTGGGAGATCTTAATCTTCTCATAACGTTTCAATGGCGGTATTTCCCGCCAAACAGGGGCTTGATTTTCAGTGATTTACCTTATATCTTTCCATCTATTCAGAAAAAACTTTCTCATTGATCAGCATTAACGAAATTTATATGTCACACTCGATGAGTATGAGTGTAAGTGAGCTTTTTGAATACAAGCGATTGTCTTTTGGATTGTCTATGGTATCATCGGCTAAAATACAAGACGGCGAATTTGAAAGGCAATTCGGGAGGCTTCTTATGTACATGCATGCACTTGAGTTGAGGACACTGATATTTTGACGTCCGCTTAAATGAGATTCAACCATTCTCATGCCATGGGTTCAACGCGCATAAAAACGTTACATCTGTACTGATTTTAAGTAATCCTGTTAAGTGATGTAATGCATCAAAGATATTCTTTTAAAAAGCGAAGGCAATCAAGCCATTCACCAAACTGTCGCCAACGCTTTATGCATGCCAAGTTATCTTCGTTCCTTCGTATTCACTTCTCGATTGCGGTTTCAAAAAATTCTTTCGGGTGGACCGCGGAATGTCGTTGCTGCCGATAGGAATCTAAAAAACGTGGATTTCACACCTGCAAATAAATGAGGAGCATATAATATGGACATAATTAGAAATACAATGCATTATGCATGCAGTAACCCTAATTTTCCCAGCCAGCAAGACCGAAGCTCATATTAATTAATGACTCAAATATACGTTGAAAGCTGGTATTTCTATTATTTATCAAATAGTCATAAAAGTGGAACAAAGGTCACCATGCAGTTTTTTGCTGTATTAAGCATGCAGGCACTTAATGGATTCTCATATCTTTTAAGATGGCCTATAAAATGCTAAACATCCAAGCTTCAATAAGCCATCAAAATAGTTTAAGAGCTAAACGTCAAGTATTATCCGGTTCGTCGGGTTCGAATATTATTAAGTGATTATAGTGACATTTGTCCCATCAAAATCCACGTTACACATTTAAAAACCCTTTTTGAAGTTAAAGCGATGGTGTAATTGTTGTCTTTTATAATCGGTATGTCTTTGCAAAACGACGTAAGCTCATACGTATGGTGCGCATGCGCAAACTACATTCTTACGTAAATACGAAATCAAAAAAATTGATGCGTGCCTCTTGAAACTGTGAAATTATGAGTCGTTCTTTTTCCTCTGCTTATTTTAAAACGGCATCCATGTCTCCTGAGTATAGCCAACGTTCAGCTTTTACCCTATGTTTTGCGATATGACAGTTTTTTGACGTTCTCATTGAAACACAAACTTTTTGTCTCAGCCAATCAGAAATTTGCTGATTGCCAAGTCTTGCAGATTGGTCGCTCGAACAAATTTTGCACCTGCGCACATGTGCCATGACCATTAAACGACCAGCGTCCGTGATATAGGATTTGGACAACTTTGGATTCTGAGTTTGTTTTGTCACAATACCCGGGTGTAATTCAAAATATTGGAGGGGATTACTTGATT